AGCTTGATGTATTTCTTGCGGAGTCTCCTTCACACTAGCAGTGAGGTATTTAGAAAGCATTATCATTTTTTATTGCTGAATTTATAGACATTTGATCACCGATAGTTTCGGTAGATCGAAAGAACTCTGAACATCGTTTTCAGTATCTAGTTATCATAAAGTGTTTCGACGGAAAGGGGTAATGATCCAACCGCTTTACAAATGTAAATAATATCAACCGATAAAGTGACTAATTGCTGTCGAATGTACTTAGCAAATTCAAGAGTAATACATGAGGAAGAGGCAATTTGCGGTACAAGTAAGATTAATCGACTACAAGAGAAATTCGTGCATATCGTTAACTAGTCAAACATCAGAGAATAATGAAGTCAGTTGACTGTAATCTTTTTTAACTCATCACTGTTTGTGATAATTTAAATATTGTTATTCATATATCCAAGTGAATTTCGCCTTTTGTGATATTCTCATCACGTTATTTAAAGTTTCAGACTGATCGGTAACCCAGTTGGTGAAAACAGAAGTGGATGAACGAACTGATGATGAAATATTAACTCTTGCACCAAAGACAGCCTACGATCGGATAAGTATAGTAAGGTCCAGAAAAATATGAAACTGGTTATTCAAAGTTATCGAGTACAGCAGTCATTCATGTCTTAAACTGTGAAAAGGTAGGTCAGATTTCTTTATTTCGTCTATAACAGATACCGTGATACAGTATTATTTACTTGATGACGTTTCGAGCATAAATTGTCACTACTCAAAATCAAATCAGTGTAATCACATCACTTTCGACATTCGATTTTTATATTCCAGTCAACTCATATGAGTTGTTTTTATTGGTAGTAAAATTTTCCATATCTGTGGTATAGGTGTGGTGTCCTTTCTATCACATGTGTTTGGTGTGTGTTGATTCGATGAAGAAGGATTGAGTAAACAATCTCTCTCATCCTCTACTTAATTATATTGGAGTTACGTACAGTGGTTTCATTCCACAATATTGCTTAGTTGTGTTTTGGTGCATGCATTTCAATAGCTGAGTTTTTTCTAGTTTATTAATCTCACTTGGGTCTGTTATTGTATATTTACCTAAATTCTCATGTTCCTTTATTCTAACTGACCCTGACCAGTTAACAGGCCTGTGTACTTGCCCCAAATTCATTACTTGGGATTTGGTAGACTAGATTATTTTGCCAAATTGGTTCTATTAGATCCTTAAGCCAGACGACAAATCTTATCTCTGAGTGGGCATGCAGGTTTAAATGCCACCACAATCCCAGCTTTGTAGAGGATCATTCGTAAAGTTTCTGATGTGCCTTCCTCATAAGGTAACAATAGAGGCTGTGAATTTCTTTCTACTCGTGTTTTCCTTATTATTCTTACTTATGTTACCGTTATTATTTCGTTTCTTATGTGTTTGTATGAATTTTTCGATAAACTGTAGTTGATAATTTTTAACCATTAGTGCTTCTTTTATGTGTTGCAGTTCTTTGTTAGACCTCTGCACTGACTAGTCAGTTTTCTGGCCCTTTCACTTAGACATTTGACTAAATCTGCCTTAACTGGATTAGATGACTTGAAGTCTATATACCTGTTGGGATACGTCGATTTCTTGTAGACGATAGTATCCAAACCACCGTCCGTCATTCGTTTTATCCTGCAATCCAACATAGGTGATTCTCCATGTTCATTTCTACCTCACAAGTAAATTGGATTATGCACTCTGTTAAGTGTATGTGTATGACGAAATTGTCAATATGTTCCGATTTCAACACAGTAAATGCGTTATCCACATCTCGTCACCTTATCTCAAGTGCCGGACTAAGCATTGTGAAAGTCACGTTTACCCAACTGTCTGTAAATATATGTGCTACGATTGGAAAAATTGGCTGTCCCATTGCTATACTTTCTCTTTATCTGTATGTTTTGTCCTGAAACTGCACTCTCCTTTCGCTTTCTTCTACAACCTAATCATTATGACTAGGTTTTACCGTATTAGTTAACAAATTTTCAAATGATACTGAAATAAACATTTTAGAGGCTTATGCAATTAATTTCATTTCAAGTTAGTATTGAGCTTTTGTCAGTAACCAGCTCATTCAAGAAGTAAGTGAATAATCAACATTATATATTTTCTTTATCAAAGTGAGTACATATATGAAAATTATTCAGTTTGTCCTCACCATAAGAAGATCGGACTAACTAGTGAGTGTTTCCGTAAATGTACATTTTATTTATCACAAAACATACAGTTACGCTTGATTTGCCATGAGCTTTTGTTGAAAATTTGATAATTGGTTCTTCTTTACTTTGACTTGTAACAATTTTGCTAAAATATTCTCATGACTTCAATGGATGTTCAAGATTTGACCTCTTCAGTTTTTATTATTTGAATACTACACACACCTAAGTAATCTACTAAGTTTCAGTTTTTGAATTCTTGTATGTGGTAGAATGACTTTGGAATTAGTTTCAATGGTTTGTTTCACTTGAACTTCACTACTTATCAGTTCTTTTACAATCCACCTAACTGTCAATCGCTAAGCTATGTAGCTTGAATTTTCCTCGTGCATCTTTTAACTTTCATCGCATAAATACAGTTGATAATAAGGTGACATGTAATAAACTCATCATTTTCTACTTAATATATTGCTCTTGCTTTGCTAAGATATATGCAGGGAACTAGCTGAAGTATGGTCTTAAAAAAGATTTTTATGTTGTAAAACAATTTCCGAGAACGTTTTTCGCAGCTTTCTTAATGTAGTGTCTCAGTTAAAGTGCTTTCAAATTACACAGCCTGCGATATGGTTCCTCCGCGATTTGGCTAGCGAGCACTGCTGATCAACTACTTATGTTGCTCAGTAGTGTATTTCAGAATGCCTTCATTTTCATCGTTTTGACACGAATTGTGGTATCCAGAAGGTTACCTGACTTGAATATTTTAGTTTTTCCTAAGGAACCACAATAATAGTGGTCGCTGCGAGAACACCTGATTTCAAATATCATATTGTCAGCGCTTAAGCAGCTGGCGGAAATTTAAGTACTTCTAGCAGTACCATGTCTTGAGCTGGATAAATATAGGTTCGCTGCCGGTGGACTCAGTCACAAATTAGTAGAACAGTTGCCTGGTGTTTAGATCACCTAAGTCTAGTCAGTGTAGGTGGTTTAGAACTACTCGTGTTTGTCAGTAATAAATTTTGTACGATGTAATGTTTCACAATAGTGGACTAATTCTCAAAGAGCTTAGAATCTTTATAAGTGAACTTCTACTATCATCGTTAATTTTTTTAGTGAGTTACGCAGTTGTTTTCATTCTGCAGAGACATTTGACTGGTATACGTAGCTCTATCTCTTTCGCAATGATAGTAACCCTCAGTTTCTACAACGTTGATTACAAAGTACAGTGAAAGGATTAGGGAGTTGTTAGTTAACTAAAGATGATTTGAAATAAGCCTCAAACCAAGGTTTTGTGACTGCTAGGACTCGTCAGATAAGGAACTGATTACTTTTCAGACGCTGGAACATACTTTACTCCGTGATCTAGTCTGAGACCTTGCCACTGAGGTATTTATGTTACTATTGATCTCTTGTTTTATTTGAATGATAAATTGTTCAATTTACGAAACATTTTGGGCCCATGACTTTAAATGAGTAAAATGTGTACTTGTGTGATCACCTATCTTGTAAACTGAACATATACTTGATACTACGTTCTAGTAACTTATATTATGAAATAAAACAATTTGATTGACAGGACAATGTTCACTGGATAGATTTAAGTGTTGATGTAAATTACATCATCACGTTGTACACCTCTTAGGTTTGATTTTTATTTCAAAACTCCATTTGACTGGTGAAAAACGTAAGTAACAAGATATAACTTGTTTATCGAAATAATAATTCAACTAACTAAATTCTGGTCAATATCATGTAACAATTTCATTTTTCAACTCCTTATAATCAAGAAACTGAACATCAATTTATTACTGAATTACAGCCAGATTTAATAAAAATTCTAATTTAATTATTTTGAAGCCGTTGTTTTTCGGTTATTGGTAAAAGGCAGCAGTTACCCGAGTTTACAAATAAATATCCTCAGATAGTTCACACAGCTTCAGTGAAGCAACAGTAAGTAGCGTTGGTCTTTTAAGTAGATTAATATAAATCGGTATTTGATGAAAGCCATTCATAACTTATTAGATGGCAGCTTAGTTCCCAAATATGATATTTGTCTAGCAACGTACTTCTGATACAATTGTAAGATATGCAAACAAATGAAATAAATTCCAATGGGACCACCGATATCTGCATTGACTGCAAAACAGGGATTCAGAGACTATAAATTATCATTCTACCACTGATCAAACTAAACACCTGGATCCACTACTTACACGATTAAAACAAGAAAGCATTCACAAACGACCAACAACTATGATCAGTACTGAAATGGAGAAAATGACCACTGTCTTCGTTTAGACTACATGAAAGTCAGTTGGCAGTTTCACTCATGACCATTCCATCTCTTACATCAATAAAAAAATATGAAGTTGAATTCCATTTGTAGAATGTAGAGATCATGGACAATAGAAACATAACGAATATCAAAAATTTCCGAGAAGCTTGACATTCAGGTCAATCACCAATCAACAGATGTTTAAACATTGACCCAATCTACCAGCCGATTAAATAAATGATAAACAACTACAGGTCAGAGGTCAAAGAAACAACCGATACGAAATTCTGTTTAATCACTTATCGAACAACCATGGAGTTTACCAATCACAAACCACTTCATCAGAGTAAGCTACTGAATTACTCACTGGAAAATCATTATAGCTCACTTCATAATGAAGTTGATCGTGATGATATCATATAGGAAGACAATAAAAGCTTTACCACCAAATCATCCAATTCAGAGTATGTAGCATAAACAAAAACTTTGTTTTGGAGGAAATTTAAAGAAAACGCAGTTACCAAATATTGTTCTCGAAAATATTACTCACCTTAAGAACTTCACACATTTTTAACAGCATAATATTAAGCGAAACAATTTTCTTCACTGAAATATCTTTGTGTTGATATGACAAAAGAATCAAATTCTTACTGAGTGTAGTCGATTTCGAGATATTTTCATTCTCAGCATTTTCAGTCATTGTTAGTTCGACAACTGAACTACTGTCATAAGGTGTGTTATTTTGTTTATGTTTCTCTTTGATTTGTGGAACAGATATTGAAGAAGTAGATGATGATGTATGACAGCTACGAAAGTTATCAAACAGTGATTTTTTACTACTTGTCTTCTCTTGATGATATGAATTCAGCGTAGCATATTTTTCTACAAGATTAGGAGCTAGTATAAATATCATTCCCTTAGCCCAGCGTGTAATTTTGTTGAAGTGTTCAACACATCTTCCAAGACTATGTGCCTCACCTTTCTCTAAGTGTTGAATATCTAGTAATTCATGAAACTGAAATGGTAAAAAGCAATGGTAGAATAGGAAGGTTTCTTGTTTCACAGTAATATCTATTATGTTATTAACAGAAGTATGATCTATTTCCAGTTTACTTTTTCTTAGGTTATATCACTGTTTCTGATATATTAAATGGTTGATATACGAAGAAAATACCACATCTTTACAACGAGACAAATTACATGCAAGTAGACTGATTTTCCATCTGAAGGTTTGTGGAGATTTATAAGTTGATTTTGATTTGGAATTCATCATGTACATCAGTTGGAGGATCATTGGAAACCTGGGAGCACTGGACAGCTGTTTTTTAGTATTGTGGGACTCCTCAGCGGTACGTACCCATGATCTCGCACAGTTTGGGGTCAAACACAGGACCTTCGGGTTCCGTAGCCAGCACGTTACCATTAAGCCACTGGGTCAGAATCCAGTGGTCCATATTTCCTAGTTCTGTCAGCTCACAACATAGAGCTCCCCATGGAGGGGTCATGGGCGCACACTGCTGAAGAGTCCCATACTAGGACGAAACAGCTGTCCAGTGGTCCTCCATCTGATTTCAGTTCATGATGAATTCTAAACTAAGACTGATTTTCTATTGACTGACCACTGGATAGCAACTAGTTGAATGTCGTCTTGTTCTGAGTGGAGACTGAATTCCGTTGACTAGTCTACAATGTAACCACCAAGCTAAAAGGCTCACCACTGCGGTTCACTTCCATTGATTTTAGTTAGGAGGCAAACTATAGAAAGCCCTGTTTTACCTAACTTTCATATTCGTTGGCACTCGTCAGTAAGGTGTATCTGCAACCTCAAATGAACTCATGTCCCCTCAGGGTCTTGAGTTCACGTCATCCCCTGCAGTAGTCAATGACGTTAACACTAAGCTACTCCAGCCATTATTTTTAAATTCCAGTCAACCATAACATGGCTGTTAGTTACATAAAAATGGGAACTAGGAAGTACCTTTACTGAACTTTTAACAGGTGTTGGTCACTTTATTCTACTGAAAGAGTTAACAAAATACATGCTAGACTAGTCAGTAAGATTGGAATGACTTTTGCTTTTTGTTAGAAACTAACAAGAATGCATGAACATTTAGTCTAGTGTATTAAATAACATCTTCATTTAGGGACATGAGGAGATGAAAATGAATGTCGAGACTTTTGAAGAACGTATTAAATTTTAGGAAAAAGTAAGGTTGGTTGCTGAAACATATTGCTGAATTGTGATGTAACAGGTGCGAAATATGATTGCCTGTATTTATGTTGACACCTGTGTTTCTTATTTAGAATTCATTGCGTTTCGAAAAGTAATATATCCATTCACCTATCAATAAATGAGGTGGCCTTTATATATATATATATATATATATATATATATATATATACCTGAACAAGTTCCACCCATGATGGTCTCTCAGTTCCTCGGAAAATAGAAGGGCACTGAGCCTACAAAAGGCGTTTACCGAAGTGGGGATTCTGCAAAACATAACGGTTTACTTATATTTACAATAGCCTCATTTATTTTCAGACCATTCTTAAAAGGTATTCTCTGTTAATATTATCTCTCTAGCCAATCTTGAAAGTTTGAGGCAAGGTGATTTTTTTGAAAGACTTCAGGGATTTAGGACTTCCTACATAGATCTGGACAGTGTTATTTGTATACTATAGCACCGAAAATGCAGAACAATAATCTTAAACTTTGTAGATAATTGAGAAATTCATTTGGTAGATTTTTACCAATGAATTGTCTCAAGAAGTGAATCAATAAATGGAAAATCACTACTTGACTTTGATCTACACGTTTGATTTATATTACTTGCTGAAGATTACATTTTGACTAAGTTTCGACAACATATTTTAATGCCGAGGAGACTGACGTAACTGCTTATGAAATCTTAGAAAGTACCTTCTAGGAGTGATTTCACCTATTCAGATTATTATTGGTCTCTCTTTTAGTTAAGACAGTTTCCTGGGTTGCAGAATTTTCTTCCTTGATAATTTTATCTCTACAGTTTCCTTATGCTTTAAGTGAATTCTTGTCACTCCTTCCAATGATGATTTGTGTCCACCACGGTGATGAAACCGTATCATTCATTTAGTGATGTATAAGACATTTACTGAGTTTATTTGAACTTTTGGTTAGTTGTAGAATCAAAAAGGGGTTTTTCGCCTTTTTAGCTGATAGAAACAGGTATCCTTTTCCGCTACCCATATGGAGGTTACTTGATATTTCAGGGTAGTTTCCATTAAGGACTGAAATTATCTAGAGAAACTTGTGTTGATTATAGAAATGATATAAAGTAATGAATTACTTATACAGCAGATAAAATGACAATACGTGTGATGGTTAAAACCTTGACAAATTCAAAGGCATGTAGGTATGAAGTGATATAGCTGTTCTATTGTACTAATTAGGCAAAACTTGTTTGCACTTAAGTATTTCTCTTATATGTGGACATTCTCAAATTTTCATAAGAATGAAATTGATAGTGAGAAAGTGTTTATTGAAATATAAGTGAAATTTAGAAATTTAATGCAACAATTTTTTAAAATGTAACTGCGAAAAGATGTTACTTTTTTTCATAGCAGTTTTGAGTAACATAACATTTTGTAACAAAATCCCAATCATCCAACTAAATTGAAGAACTTACATTGATTTCGGCAAACTTTTCCTCTTCCATTTGAGTTATTTCTTGTGCAATCAATCTTGCATCATATTCAAGAAACTCAAGAGCTCTGAAACGTAACAAATCAAGTATATATACGTATCTCCTGTGGGAACGAACTCAGCAAATGTAATGGAAACTTTCTTATAATCCAACAATTCGTTAAGAATATTTTGTATTTCGAAAGCAAACGTATCATTGATAGCATTTTGTATATATGCAGTGTGAATTAGGTTATGAATTACCTCTTTTGTTATATATTCGCAAACAAATCATAATTTTTTATTGTATTGAGTAAATATTCTACATAAAATTGGTCTTTGTGATACATCACACAATGATGCAGTATTTTTTTTCTATATCAAATAAGCAAATCTTATACGGAATCACGTTCTACCGCAGTGCCGAAGTTTTACACGTATATGAATAAATAATAATAATAATAAATAAAAATAATACATAATAAATGTGGATCTCAATTTGCTGGCCACTATGCACAAAGCAGATCAAAATTAAAAGGTACAATAAATTATCGGTCGGTTTTCTGTGAAGTATTTGGTCGCAACATGCATCAGTTACATCTACCAACCATTGACTTTACTTCATGTAGACCATAACTGGAGGTGCTACACTTTCCCAAATGACTCAGACAAGCAATTAGAGAATTCATGAATGGATGCCACATTTCATTTTGGTTACTTCTCGGCATTTCCCAGCCTGAAGCTACTTCACTTAGCATGTCATGATGAGGTGGACGATAACTAGACATGCGTAATATTTGGTCACCTACCTGAGTCAGTGATGTACAACCCTGTCAACTGACTCTTTTCTACCTAAGACTACACCTGGCCTCTACCTCGGCTAAGTAGTAGTTTCAAGACAAATGGCCTATGCTACGAAAGCAACAGTGGTCGAACACGTGAAGCTCTCTCATATCCACACCTTTAAAAGTAACATTAAACAGCTACAAAGTATGAAGGGGAGACCTACTGCACAACACACTAGAGTCTTAGAAGCAAATAGGATTTCCTCTTAATGTCATAAACGAAATTAAACAAGTTTCTAATGTATATGCAAACCTGCAAACCGATCGCTTACCAAATGATACCGAAAATGTGTCATATTATCAAGAGATAGCCTACCTATTTGTGCCCGTCGCCTATAAGTAAACCACTTGAGTCTCAATATACCACCATTACTATCTAGAAATTGATGACAATGCCTATTTTTGTGCGCCTGGTTTACCTAAAGGAAAATTTTACTACAATATTGAATATTATCAGACCAGGTTAAGGACGTTCTTGCACACACGTTGCTTCTTGAGCTTATGTTTCCCTTCAAACGAATTTAGGTGTAAACCTATGATAATCTTCAGTATTTCTCTTCTCATGGAATGGCAGATATTTTGGTTTAACTTTCTCAACTATGCGGTGAAATGTGATCAGGAGCATTATGCTTATTGTATCTGGCAAACTGCAAAATTAATCATCAGTATTTCATTTTCTCTGAACTAATGACTAATTTGATTTAGTTTGGAATACAAAAGGTTAACGAGATAAGATCTATATTTTGGAAGGTGCATCCACGTAATGCGTACTTAGAAATGTTATATTCTAAAGGAATTCCGACGAATCTTGACTCTGGTTCTAATTAAGTGGGAAACAAGTGTAGATTTTCATACTTGTAAATCTCGTTTTCTAATCACATGATTTAATGTGCAAGTTGTAAAGTACAAATAAATTATATTTACCTGAAGTACTGTGCGTTAGATATATACAGTGAATCGGAAGGTAGTCTTGGATGATCTTTATTTCTTGTCTATTGGTACCGGTTACCTAGAGGTGTCTGAGACTTTAGAAAAACTGTTCCCTAGTATGCTGGTGCTTCGGTGACATAAAGCTAGTCCAGAAGAGCTTGTCAGTATTGTGGTTAGGTCAGGATTGAAGTCTAAGGTGAGGAATTAAGCAAACAATGCGGTTATCAAACAGCACTTTTTGAAGATGTTATGTCTGGAATGGTAGTACAGGTTTACTAACCACTTTGTGATCTGACCACTGGAATAAGTGACGGAACACGACGGCACATACGTTTGTTTGCATAGCACTCAAGTTGAGAAGTCATACTGGTATCAGATTATGCAACTTGTATGGATAATGAGCTGAATGTGGAAACGGAGTCACAATTGATCTAGTTGTAATCTAGTTACACCAGAAGACAGTAGGCATAATCACGAAGAGAACCAACATATCTTACGAGCCGCAAAAAGAGAGGAAGGGATGTGGATTACTGCCTAGAAGTCAGCTTCTTTCGCCACTGGGGTAGGTGAGAAGCGGAAGACTCTCGTAACCACGTCAGTTACCTACTCAAAAGGTACCAAGCTCATCAAACCTCTGACACCTGGTAATATTTTCAGGTATCTGAGGTTAACATCCTTAGAAGATATTGTGCTCCAAACTAAATTCGTCACATTTGGAGGCTATCTTGCGGAAAATAGATGATGTACTCTAAGACCTCAACAGTGGGCAGGCACACTAAAGTCTTGCCTACGTTCTTAGCTGCGGTACGCACTTCTTGTCAGCCCAGACTATGCCATGAAGCTAAGTAAACGGATGTACGGATACGTGCAATTTGAAAAAGTGGCTTCACCTTATGCATGATGCACAGAATACCAACATCCACACGGCCGTTTAGGATGGTTTCTTATGCACTGAGTTTTGGACACAGTTATGCTAGTTATGGCATATTCAAATTTACAAGATTCACAGATCTACGTGAACTATAATAAAGGCAGGATCAGTGACCTCTTTTTGAATATAACCATCAAGAAACTAATCCTCGGAGCAAAGATAATTCTTCAAACCCTGAACGCAAGGGATCAAATGAGGAAGGTATGGAGAAGAGTACTGCCTAACAAGAAGGAGAGTTGACGGTTGAGAGGTACTCTCATAACTTAAGTTTTGCACAAGTGGCTTCATCAGCCACATAAAATCTTATATGATCTATTCATAACAGCAATATAGCTACAGAAAAATCAAATAGATATCAGAGTACAAGCTTCTTGAAATCATCAGCTGTTGATAGAATGCATACATAAGTGTGAACAAATGAATATCTCTCGACAGATATCCTACGGAAGCGTAGAAAATTTCATTGATTGGGATAGCAGTCGTGGTAGGATAACGGTTTGGGATTCTTCGAGCTTTGAGGATAGTTCTCCAACAATACATCAGCAGGCTAGGTGGCTTCAGCAACACTTACGCTATACATAAGTGAAATATTTTAAATTATATGAATGTTCACAAAGGGTTTTCATCAACTTTAAGTGTTATTGTCTTGGGGGTAAAACTTACCTGTGAAAAGTATCCTTTGCCACAGTGCTTGAGTTCCATTCTTAAGTTTGAGTGCACAAGCTGATTTCATTACAGTAATGTGAATTACAACCAACCTCATTTGAATGTTCAGGAAATCATTTTAGTATTTGATATGATAATCTTTCCTTTTACTAAAGTATTTATCGAGTGGTGATTAACAGATTACAACAAACATGTATTTCATGCCTCACTCCTTAGTCGACCTAAGATATTAGGTCATTAACTGCTACAAAATGATCTTTCTTTTAGTTAAAGAACCTCAGATTGATACTTAAGTTAGAATGTTCTAATGCCTGAGGTTTGAAGAATAAACATACACACAACAAACTCGGTCACATCACCTCTGTGACCATAGTTTTAAAACACCTTTAAACAAGCGAAATCAATGTCCACAATGATCTACTTTTTGAAGTTGTCAAAATCAGCGACCATACACTACATTAGATTAGTGGATAAGTTAACATTCCTATCTTTGTGCTACTCTTTGTGAAAACATATTCAATCAACTGCCTGAAAAAGTAGCCAGTCGGTGATGCATTCACAGATGTATCCTTTGGAAGTTGGGCAAACGTCAGTAACTTTCTTCAATTCCTCTAACCCAACTGTTTACTATGGATATCTCTGTTTGAAGTGTTAGGAACAGTGGTCATAAACTTCAAAATAAGATATTATTATCACTACGAAACTGAAAACACACTGTCATACAGCCTCTAATTGGTAATTTGTTCCTTATAAATTAAGTTATTCAAGACAGAATAAATCTACAGCTTACCTATGTATCGACTCTTCCTGAGGTTCAGAAAAATACAAGTTACCATTTTCAGTTGTCAGGCTTGGGTACTGTAAAGAATTTCGATTGTTTATTTCGACGAGATTTCCGTTATCTTGTCCAGATGATAAATGACTGATTGTCAATGATTTTTTAGATATTATGTCGTTTTCTGCATACATGATGCCTATTCCATTCAAACCTTTTCGATGAATACAACCAAAATTTTCTTTATTCTTACCGCTAGCACTATTCGAATGGTTGGTCAATGTTTGTTTCGATGACAGTATTGGTAGATTTTCTAACAAACGATCTGCTAGAAGACGATGTGGCTCCTCAGAGATTTGATTATCATCGTGTAGTTGTTCTCCGGATATTTTTAATTCCTTGGAAACTAACTGATTATCATAAATAAGAAGGCGTGCAAACCGATTGAGGCGTAGAATTAAAGTAGCAGATAATTGGCTTGGATGGATATCTCTGACCTGCAAAAAATAATTTAGAGAAGTTAATAAAAAGTGGTTATCAGTGTATCCATTTTTACATCAATAATGACATTCTTATTCATGTCGTTCCTCTTGAGGAACTTCTGCGTCCATACAATTTGAATTATCTTGCGATTATGAAAATGGCTACCTATTCATATGGTCATAAACAACTTGATAATTTATGTATGTTTAGAAATCTTGAGAAGTTCTGTTTTTACCATAAATTCTCTTTCAAGAAGCATCTTCACATTCTGCTAAGATGAAAATGATTATCCGTAGCAAGTACTTAGCTCCGACTAAATTACTTACAAGAAAGAGATTTCTGACTTAGTCAAACAAATAAGTTGATCCTCAAGATCTAACATTGTGATGACTGCAGTTTTTATTGAAGTAATCTTTTTTTAATCTCCGTGATCAAAACCATTTTCAAGTAAGTACTACAAAAAACGTTTATTTTATGAAAACACTTTAAAAAGAAAGTGAGTTTATATCTCCAGTGGCTAGTCATTGTATCTTAACCAGTCCTGCAGGAGGTCATCCACTGCCTACATAGATCAGGTGTAACGTCGCCAAATGTAACACTGGGTGACACAGATTTGAGTTTTAAGGAGCAAATCACTTCTCTTGATGCTGTAAATACTCTTCGCCGACGAGTGCCAAGAAGCACGAAACCTAGGTGACGTAGGACTTCCTGCCCATTGCTTCCAACTAACTAACATCTGTCTGAGTTTATTTTACCGAAGAACACTTATTTTCATAAGTATTGAGAGGCCTGAGGTTTGAGTGAACTGTCCTAATTATTTAATTACCCAATTACAATCTGCAATAAACCACTATAATTGCGAAGTCAGAGAGTATAAAGCATTCTAATAAGCGATAACGTTGTTGGTTTCATCTTAAAGTTCAACTCTGTTTTCAAACTTGTCCTCTAAGTATACTAAGTACATCTCCCTGATATACTAGTAAATTTGAAAGATTAAATTGCAGATCAGCTCAAGTTCATACCTAACATTCTAGCTGTATGTGATCTGAGTTTATATTCACATGTATAACTTTCAATGCATTGTTTTTGTCAAACGACAAATACTGATCAGGAAAATGGATCGATATTGTATTGCTTTCTACAACAAAAATGGATGCATTATTAAGAATGAGAACAGTACTTTTTTTGCCCAATCTTGTTTTATCATCTTTGTTTATAGATCACCTCTCTCTCTCTCTCCATATATATATATATATAATTATATATATATATATATATATATATATATATATATATACATTAGTCTACCTATAATCGTTTCTGATCACATTTAGGCAAGCTGATTAATACTGTTGATTGCAATACAGCTTTGAGTTGATAAAAAGTAACCATTTTCGCCCAACAATGAATTACTATATGACTGACCTTGAAAATAGCCCTTAAAAAGTAGGTAACTGTCCTTAAAAATCATCCGAAATAAATTCTGGTATGTCCAGTTGACTTTAAGAACCCACCACTTCCATCTAAGATGTCTAACTAGCTGTTCCATATGAAACATGTTTTAATGCTGATCAAATGACAGTATCAATATACTTCGAAGAAGTCATAATTTTTTCTAGTGACTCAGCTGCAATAGAAGCAATAGCTAATTCATCGTATTGTTACATTGATGAGGTTACATAATGACTAGTTATCGGTGATAGCAAGTCACAAGAGTTAAACGTAATGCAAAGTACAATAATACAAGGGAGAGTGCTTTATGGCTCAGTCTTTGATCAAACTCGAATAATATCTATTGTCAGTTGCGCAATGATGACATGACAGAATGTGCTGCTCCAATGTGTCATCAATATTTATACACAATTTATGTGTAGAAAGGATCACGACAACTGTTTTCTCCTGAAGGGGAAGCGTAATTATGGGTTCTGAAATTATTTATGTTTGTTTGTGTGTAGCTAACTAAGTACGAAGCATATTTATTTACGTAGGATATATCTGTGTAACAGATTGAATTTACTAGAATAGAAAACTTCCCGTTTAAAATTTTGTCAACCTTGATCAATCTTCTGATTTTGCACCAGACTCCTTGATACTTCAATGATGAACCATCTGTTTGTCCTTGAATTCAATGAGTTTCGGTAGTTAATTTTCGGCAGTGATACTGAATCTTTTAAGTTTCTGTCTCTGAGACGTATCAGTTCCCCACATGAATAATAATCAGTGCAGAATCTTGGTTTAAGGTTATGTGCATGTTAATCACTATCTCCCAACATTTACCAGCATATTAAGTTATTCAGCATAATGTCTAAAGGAAAACGTTGGTCTACAATATTCTTTCAGTAATGAGCACTAAAATGTATAACAGTGCATTATGTAGACTGGGCTACTTAAAATGATATACTCATTATTGGTAGAAGAAAGAGTTTGGTGCAATAAATTGTTAAGACATCAGACAGCTAAGTATAGGCATCAGATAATCTCATTAGGAAATTAATAAGTGGAAGGCCTCCTAGAAAACATCAATAGTTAATGAAGAATTAACCAGAGATTTAAATAAAATATCTGGCCTGGAATTTATTTCATAGTTAGGTCTGTGGCAGTAAAGCAATCTAAGCAGAACTAACTCAGGAGCTTGCTGTATAAATTCGCTTAAGAACAAACAATACTACACTTAGGATCACTAAAAAACAGAGTAAGTTTAACAGACTGGTTAACGGAAGTAAACTAAATTCACGATTAATTTTCAGTAGTTGAAGAAACATTTGAACTGACGTTGGTTTGTCAGACACGCTTTTGTTTATAATGTCATCAAAGAAAGCTTAATCAAAACTTTTGTCATTCGGATGATCAATGACCGGAGATCTATAGTTCGATAAAAAACTCAAAATTTTCACACTTTGTCAAATAACGATAATCCAAAACGCAGCCACATAGCGAAATTTGATAACTTACATATAAAATTATGCTGATGAAATTGTTTTTTGTACGAAATCTCTGAATTCTAAGCTACAAGGTTATAAATTAACTAATGCAGTTTGAAGATGTTAAAAACCAAACTTTACTGAATTTGTGGATTGAAATAATGTACCAAGAGATGAAAAAATGTCTGCTAACCAGAATTATAATAACCTGATCAAGTACATTCAGTGATGTCAAGTTTCTTGTCTATCATTTGAAAATTATGGTCTTGTTTGACCATTAGAAATTATCATGAGTCTACACAGTTGCAATCTGGTGGTCAGACAGATAACACTGTGATACATTACATCATTTCTTACACTAATACTTTTTTTGTTTATACATTTCTGTGTCTAATCAGCTAATGTATTGTCTATTTATTTATTGGTGATAATAAGGAAATTCATCATTTGTTGGGTACATATCTGTAACCTTTCGATGATTTGAGAGACAGGGTTTACCGACAACCGTAACTACCAGTGTTTTCATTGTCCTAATAACATGTTGATATTTTTTTTACTTTTCTGAAAAAGAGATCTATTTCCAGACATAATATTCCGTTACTGCTCTTTCAAAATGTTTTTGATTGTCTATTAACGATAAAAAATGGGAAAGGTCTCAGCTTAAACTTTTACAGATTTGTGTTGCGAAACGAGCTACGTACATGGTAACTACGGAATAAACCATTTATTTGTCTAATATTTCCTTATTTTCGACTTCATTTCGTAGATAACTTTGAGAGAAGACTCTCGTGAGGCACATTGGTCAAAGATCAATAAATGCTCAAGAACCGAGCTGTCGATGACTTTCCACTGTCCCTTAGACAGTCATGCAGGATGTTATTCGGTAATGCGTTTGGATAAAACACTCTTTGTGCATCCTTTGTAACCGACTCTACAAGAGCAGGTCAAACAGTGGACTCACATACAGGTGGCTCAAAGCCATAGTTCATCATTTGCATACAGTTGAATAAGTTGTTGACTAGAGAAAATAATCCAAAGCTGGGTGGAGAAGAAGGTTTCCTTCAGCGCTTTGCATACCGAGTTCTTCAGAATATCTTCAATATATTTCTTCTGAATTCAGTATACATAAACGATGTCATCTTTTGAACCGTAAGGGTTTCTTCTCAAATCCTGGGTTTCATATTCTCCCCAGTGAATGTTGTAGGAAAACCATTCCCGATTAATACTCTTCAAAGCACTTTCAACTCCTCATACACTGTATCATTTGTACAAATTCTTCAAATTCATCTGGCTAGTGAAAGAATTGGATCTCTTCTACTGACTAGTGAAGCTCGGTTTCAAAAATGAGTATACTGACCATTCCAGATTTTTTTTCTGTAAATCTATTTTCTCGGTTAGCTATCATTTCTTCTTTTCAACAGGACGTCCGAGAACTGAAAATCTCGGTTATTTCCTGTTTCCATGGTAAATTTAATTAACTAATGACATTCATTGAACTTAAGTTGTATTTCTCCAAGGTTACTATCCTATCCTCACAGATGATGAAGGTGTCATCCATGTAGCTCTTATACAGATAGAAGTGGTTGATCAATGGAAGTAGTTCACTGTTTTGGTTCTTGAGACTTGCCCCGAAGGAACCAGCTAAAGGCATGTGTAATGAAAAAAACCATTGCTAGCCCTTACGTTTGTCGATAATAGTTTACTAGTGAATCCGAATTGAATACGAAAAGTACATCGTAAGAGCAATTCCTTCAGAAAGATTTCAGATAAAATGAGGAGAATGCTTTCCTTCTTTGGTTCGTTTTAACTACATTTGATGTATGTAAGCTTATGGGTCGAAATTCAAATTGATGGGGTTAAATAAGTTGAGCATTGGGTGAGTGGATTGTAAATGAAATATATTTTTTAAATTCCAATTAAGTAGTAAAATAAATAGCTGATGTTTTGCGACTTCATAGAAATTGCTTCTTCATTGAATAAACATTCGTTAACTTGTACGTGTTTTATTCTCTCAAGAAGCTATTTTCACGAAGTCACGAAACATCAGAATTTTTTTTCTACCTCATTGCTATCTTACAAATATATTTCACTTAAATACTTGATTTAGTTTTTGTTGACTCACTTGTTTATAAACTGTTCCGCAAACATTCTATCAAGAAGACCTAAAGTTGAATTGTGGAAATAAGTAGTAAGTAATCAGTTGACTCAGCAATCTTAAAAGTTGAAGTCGGTCATAGGCAACGTCCTTTTTTATTCAAGAAAAATCTTCGGACTACTTTTCAGTGTTTGAAAAGCTGCATATGAGGTTAATATTTTGACGGATTCCTACATTAACGGCACCTGTAAAATTCTGTATTGAGTTTCTGTCTTATTTTCCACATACATTTCTCGTGCGATCTGCTTGTCTTTATTCAATATCTTTGATGAAGTTGAAATACTGTATTCAATCAGATGGTGAAAATCTTTAAGCGAGTCACCTAACTGATAGTTTTGTGGTCTGCACATCAAAACTGATCACGACCAAGATTTCGAACATCATCAACGACCTTTGTATGTATATTGTAATTGTTTTATTTATCTGTGTGAAATAGTCTTGTCAGAATTGGATCTACTCTGTGCCTCTGAATTGAATAGAGTAAAGGTCTGAGTTAAAATAAACCATGTTCACTTCATAGACAGTGGAGAGACTATTACGAACAACCATATCAGTTGCAACCAACAGGCCTAAATTTGTCTTTACAGACAAACGGAAGAGATCAGGCAAACATGAATAGAAACCCTGATGCTCAAGCCATTGAGTAATTGCATAAAGAAATTGTTAACGCCACCAAGCAGGAACGGCAAAAGAGGCAGGGAAATATAAGTTGTACAGACAGATAAAAAGTGTAAATAAGGGACAAAGAAGCTGAACACATAAGCAAACCAGTTGTAAGGAAAGTAACGAATCAACTGTCATTCTACTAGCTCTTTGTACGAAAAATCAATTTTACAAAGCTGCTGAACCACCAGAGCATTCATGAACCTAACAGAGGAATACTGAACATTGTAGAAACATCCATGATAGCTTATAGAGGACTAGAATAACTTCAGGAGACAAAACTCAAATGAGATAAACAGGCGAAATTTCTTTTGATTAAAAAAGCTAATGTGTGATTCATTTAGTGTCACATTGTAGAAAATTCAAGTTTACCGATCTTGGCATGTATGAAAGACTGAGATCACTTATCAGTGAGTTGTGAACCAGAAAAATAGCCACTCCACGTTTAAACCGTTGCAAACTGATTCAAGAAGGTTGTTGTTGGCTACATCGACCAGTAAAGCATGTTTTACAGGAAACAGCTGCATTCCACACTTCATTAATGCAAACCTTTTATACTTATGAAATCTGGCAATATAAACTTACAATGGTTACAAGGTAATCTGCTGCATTTAAAGCGTCAATCCAGTCTATACTCTGACAACCAGGTTCAACAGGAGCAGAAGCAACATAAATTTGAATCAGACGTTCAGTTATCTTTTCTGGAGTTGTAAATGTTGGATAAGTCAAACGAATTACATCAGGGAATAAATAATCTGGATGACTAGCTGAAAAGATGACAAAACAAATATTATTTGATAAGGGATTCAGATTAAAATGATATCAGATGGCGAAATAATTACCTGATAATTTATCAGTTAAACTAGTCGGTTGCTAGAGTTTTATCATCAACCTTGATTAATTTGTAACCAGTAACTTCATAAATAAACGAAAAAAAATGCAGTTTATAAGGTTTTTTTGCATTCTTCACTTTCAGCGATATGAATTTGTAAGTGAGAGAGTTAACAGTTTTATGCTAATATGAAGCCGTTAACGTAGATCCGAACAATTAAACAATTACTAAAGAGGATCAAAAACTACCCAATGTCTTCATACGAATCAGTAAATATGCTAAGGAAATGGTACGCTAAACAACACGAGTGGTGTCAAACCACTTAGGCTGATCAGTAAATTTACCTAGCCAGATCAAACTGATCTAAGAGACTGATGGTCATTTCTTTCTTTTGATGCCTAGCTCATCAGTCGTTCACCTAGTTGAATCCAGCTTACAGAGACGGATTGTCCAGGTTAATGGAATTCGAATGGCTAGCTGACATGCCTGGAAATCTTAATTGACACTAGTAGTACTGATAAATCAACAGATATTCGAACCAACTTGAGATTCTATCATTTTAAACAATGGAACACAGAAATATGGAGAAATACAGAGATTTTAAGAAAAGAAAATTCTACTAGACCAATTGAAAATGAAGTAAACGTTTAAAAGAACAGATATAGGAATCTGTTCCTTCATATTATATGTTAATCCAAACCCGTCCCCATTTGTTGTTGAAATGTAGAAGTAGAATGCTTTTAAAATTTCGAGGTAGCTACTGCCAAAATGTAAAGCATTATCCGGAAGGCAGTAGATACTACTATGAATAAGCTTAAAAAGTTCACAAGGGATTTATCACGCTAAATGAAGCCGTTTCTAGTTGGGTCAAAATGGCTTAATTTAATACCGAAGACTAATAATCCCAGCACAAACTATGGTAGTACTGAAAGTCATAAGTCTAATTATCCTATCAAACCTATCAAATACTTTACGAACCTTCCCACCTATGAATTTTCTAAATACTTAAGGATGCTACTTGGCACAAGTAGAAGCCTTTCTAAATCTAGGTTGACTAACTCACATGACTTGAAACACATTTCAGACGATGTACATTTAGATAATAATAAAAAATGGGAAGTTTTGATGTTTTCAATTTTATATACTAATATACCAGTTGTTGTGTCTCTGAAGCAGTTAGAAATGAACTCAATAATGACCATGAACTTACATCAAGAACTAAGGTACCAGTAAAGAACATCATGTTTGGAGTACATTCGTGCCCAACTTCAACTACCTTTAAGTTTCAGAATAAAATGTACAAGCAAAAAGAACTAATTGACACATTTCTATAATTACCCGCCCTAAATTATCACTATATACGTACTAAATCGTAAGAGGAATATGAATATGAACATTAGTAGAAAGACATGCATTGTTAATAATGCTGCTACTAGTAATAATAATAATGGCAGGAAGAATGGTGACAAGATGGAGAGAGAATTTAAAGTATCTGCTATGTTACAACGCAAAGAAGGTATCTCGAAAGCTCTGTGAAAATCTTTCAATAAGGCTGGAATTTGAATGACACTTATAACGACAAACTGGTTTACTAAGAAGCTTTTTAGGTCCATAGATCAATTCGACAAAATAATTTAGTCTACCACCAAATCCCCTGCAACGATTGCAAGGTGAAACATATCGGTTAGTATTTATGTGTCAGTTACAGTAACAAAGCGCAAAAGCTTACCTAAGTCAAGATTTTTAGGTCCTATTAAGATAAGGAATTTAGGGAAAAGCTTGGCTGTTGTTATGCTTGCAACCACACTTAATCAGACATAAAAGGTGGGATAAAGAGGTAGTGTTAAAAACCAACTTAGTTGAGTGTAGTAGGAGGTTCATGACTGATCCCTTGTTTGACATGATTGCGGTTGGCAGAGGAATCTAGAACCTACTTGGGACTTGTCGGGTAGATGCACCTGCACCCCAGTGAGTGAAGTTATTCACATTGGGATTCGAACCTCGTACCTATCACTTCAACCTTTAAGGATCTACCCACCAGGCCAGTGGGGCGCGGTAGTCACTCCTTGAAGAACGAGTATTAGTAATAATCATCTTTTGATGTTTGCATTACTCCTTCGTTATGCAGGATAGAACTGGTAGACGTCTGCTGGCATATGGGCTGCTATACAAAACGCTATCCTATTAGCCAAAACCAATTCAATTATAAGAATAAATACTGAGGCAATATCGAGGCATCTGAGTAGGCATCCATTTACCAACGGTGGTCGATCAGTTCGGTCCAGTATAGCTCCGGAGAATTGGAAGTATCAACCGATCTTCATTTATCTAATCAATACAAAACACAAGCAATAGGAATGATTCTGTGCCAGTTCAAGATGTATCGAAAACTTTACTATCTTTATCACAGAATTAGAGAGGAAGTTAGAAGTATATAAACCATATCTCAAGGTTATGAAGGTACCTGCTATGAATATGGACAATAAATTGCGTCCAAAATCTTGTCTATTAAGTAATAACGTTTTGTTGTGTGACATCTAATAAGCAGACTAAAATAGAATTGCATTCTACTACAGTATTCTTAAATTAAAACCAGATTTTCCATGCAATTCTATTTTGCTACTTGTTAGTAGTTAAAAAGAAAATGTGCAGTAAATACTTGGAATCAAATAGTCTATGAACACATTCCGTTCAAGTGCCGGACTACCAATTTTAGGTTAATATTTAAATTTTTTCCCTGGGATTAGAAGACTTTATTCACAAGGGAAGTTTTTCTTGGATTGTTTGGTGAAGAACAGAGTTTCATCTAATCACCTGTAAAAGTTATAAGTATGACTTTACAATTCAGCTGTTCATACCATACATATACAGGTTCATCACCAGCATTAGCAGAGAAAACCACTGAGCAGTTTGGAGCATTGGATAGCTAAACAAATCTGAATTACTAGGTTCCATTGATGTGAACCCGCATCTTTACATACAAACTGCTCAGGACCATCAAAATTCAAAGGAAGAATTCTGTTAATAAATCGTTCGATCGAAATCCAATGGTGGATTCTTAGACTTCCCAAATGATAGTCCCCAATATATTGCAGTCATTTTTCAATACTTTTGTTAGAGATTTGGTTCGCAATCTAAATTAGTTCTTGCTATAGGGCTGTAATATTTAATCTTAGGGTTATTTTCGGAATTCATGTTCATATTCATCACAATTTCACATCACCGACAGCAGCCCCAAAATATGAAATCCGGTTACTCAATGTTATTTGGTGTATAATGGTTCTCAAGTTGATACACATAATTTCATCTACAAGGCAAATGTGCATTGAAATATCTTCAAAATTCACCCTTAGTGATATTAAATATTGGCATCAAAAAAGAAGCAAAGTCCCTAGTACTTAAAATTAATACCGACTAAAGCTTCTGAGTTAGGTGTTAAGTGCCGTAGTTTATGCAGAATAATGCGTACTTATGAGCCATATATTAGGAAAAAGTGTGTTTTATTTTCTGTGTTTAACTGACGATTATCGCATTGTAGAAGCTATGTTCTACCCAGTGCTTTGTAATCAAAGAGAAGAGGTGGTCAAACTGAAACATAGAATTAGTGGAAGAAGTCGCAAAATTTTAGCTTGGATCATGTACGGGAATTCTACCTTCCATCTGGGGTCTACATGACAGCCGAAATCGTTGGTTGGAAACCTTAAGAAAAGTGGTTTCGCATGAATCTCAGTAGCTTAGATACGCATTATCTTCATCTCAATCATCATACTGAATATTCTTCCCCCTTCCTCCTGTCTTTCTATCACCTTCTACTATTTCTGATTATTTGCTTTCTTATTGCCCTATCTTTCATCTTGTTATCGTTTTTCTTGATATGCTGGTGTGAAGTCAGGTCAACTGTTCCACAAATCAGTAATACGAGGTTCTATATAGACATCGATTTACTGAATGTATTCCAAAATCTTTGATGTTTATGGTGGCCACGAAAGATCAAATGAACTGTATGGATATTTAGGTAATGAAATGGACATGGTACCACATATCTTTTTGAAAAACCTTATTCTGGATATTTTGCTATCTATATAACTTACTGACACTCAAATTTGTCTGAATGATGAAAATAAGAAATAACGTAATACAAAAGAATCATGTTTGCATTTCTGGAGACGGGAAAAGATGACTCGAACCTTTTGGACATAAGTCGGTAAGAACTTTGTCTATAAGTGTACCCAAATCTTTAAAATATCCTACATTTTATTGTATCATATCAGTACTTACATATATTAATTTCTTTTAAAAAATCGATGGTGTTAAATTTATGTTGTACCATGTAGTAATCAGTTATTGCCAGTGTTGCTCACTTTGAAGGCAATAAATTGCTGAGGTAACCACTAACTGTCTTTCAATAACCTAACTCAATGGACTTGTTGTCCTTGAGATTTGATGAAATTATACTGTATTGACGAAGGCACAAAAACCATCAGTCGCAATCTTGTCTTATCTCAGATGAACTAAAGTGTGTACTCATTATTTATAACTCATTTGAAATGTTTCTAAATAAAATTATTTTGAAGTTATTGCAAAACTGAGATGGTCTAGCTGGAATTAAAGAGATAGCTTATCCATGTAATCCTCACCAGGTAATATCAGTTAGTGAATAATCACCAAGAAACCTCTATGAAACTTGAAATTTCACAAATCAACAGTCTGCCGGCAGAAAGAAGCGCTAGATTTAAAATATCATTCATTTGCTCATTGCTGATCGTTATTAACCATCCACTCTCGGCTGAGGAACTTGTGTTGTAAGGCACTGATCAGAGTAGAAACCCGAAGTGAATGAATTCTGAAACATTTGAAGGCCAGACAATTAACACCAATGGTTTAGTATTAATTCTAAAAATCCAACATCATGAAATTTTCTACCGCGTGAAGTGTAAGCTGAATTTTACAGACAGCTTGAATACAATTCACCTTGTCTAGCAAAAAAATTTTACTTTCACTTATTCTTTATCGATATCCTTCATTTATTTTCAAAAATGTGAACATACTTGACATAGGCGTCTGAAGTAAGTTTAACGCATATATGAGCAATCCATCCAAAGTTCCACCCCGAATAGTAGGTTCCAGAAGAGTTGTAGACTAGAAAAGAGATGAAGTTAGTAATTAGGTCATACCAGTTTGACGGATTAGATAATGTTTGAAATTAAGTACTCTGATGCCAGTAACATAGAAACGACATGTACCAAATTAAAGGTCTCTTGATGTCAAACAAAAGAAGTCATGAGTGTTACGTTCTGTAAGACAAAACAAACATACGAGATTCATCCACCTGCAAGTTTTGCAGCCAGCTTGACACAAACGTTATAAGCCTTATGTCATTTATCACTGACTACGGCGCGCACTACATTTATCCGTCTAACTGTAACTCTTATATTTATATAAAATTTGTTTATTGTTATTTCTATAATTTATTACTATTTTACCCTTGGGTTCCCAGTGAAACATAGGACTTCAGTAGCATGCTACCAGTGCACTTTGGTCTTCTGCAGTCTTTTGAACCTCGCTGCACGACTGCCCACAAGCTTTCATTTCTTTCGCACATGATCTCCTCCATGTCACCCTCTGCTGGGATGCTAGACTTGTCGTTCCTTCCTTAGGTTCCACTCGATGGACTGGCGCGTGATGTCCCCAGTCGGCCTTCTCAGTGTATGCTCAATCCATCTCCGCTTCCTTCTGCGTATTTGTTGGGCGATAGGTTCTTAGTGGCTTCGTTGACAGCCAGAGTTCCTTGTTGCTCATCCTTAGTATTCTGCCCATCTGAGCTTCGGCACTGAGTGAGCGTAGGCAGCTGTTGATGAATGTTTACAGTTTGTTGGAAATGCGTTTCGTGGCGTGCCAAGTTTCTCAACCATATAGCAGCACTGACTTTACATTAGTGTTGAAAATCCGGATCTTGTTCACGCTTTGTGCTGAGTGCAGTAGATCTTCACACTGATTTCAGATGAATGAAAGCCTGTCTTGCTTTTCCGATCCTGGTTTTGACATCCTCGTCTGTGACGCCAGTAGTTGAAAAGATGCTGCCTAGGTAGGTGAATAAGTGAAAGAGACTGCTTCGTTTAGGTTTCTCCCGTTGATGGTGACTGGTGCCTCTTGTTGTTGATGCTGTTGTCGGTTGGGTATTTTCATCACTTCCATCTTCTCTACATTCACCTGAAGTTCCGTTCTCTCTACTCTGCCTCTTCTGTCAACTTTGACTGTACGTCTTCGAGTTTGTGCGACATCAGACACAAGTCATCGGCGAAACACAAATCTTTTGGGGCTTCTCATTGGTCCAGCGTATACCCATCTTCTCGCTCCTCACTGTTTGCTGCATGATCGAGTCAACCACAATCAGGAAGATGATCGATGATAGTAGGCAGCCTTGTCATACTCCTGTTTTCACTTCGAAGGCGTCACTGAGCTTTCCATTGTGGATGATTTGGCATGTGGTGTCGTCATATAGCTGTTGAATGAGGTTGATAAAGATGTGTGGTACTGCTTACTGTCGAAGCAACTGCCAAATTACCTGTTGGTTGACGCTATCGAAGGCCTTTTCAAAGTCGATAAAGTTGAGGAACAGGCACAGTTGACTGCCATTCTACACTCTGTTCTATGATGATGCGTAGTGTAGCGTAGTATCGCAATTTGATCCGCAAATGAGGAAGCCAGCCTATTCCGGTCGTAGTTTTGAATCCAGGGCATCCTTTAGTCTCTCTCCAGTATGATGCGGCATAATACCTTGCTTGGATAGCTGCATGACTCCTCGCCAGTTCTTGTTCTTGCAAAGACTTAGATTGCCCTTCTTCGTGAGTTCAATAAGGTAGCCCTTCTTCCAGTCAACCGGCAGGTACCTTTCCGAAATCCCTTCCTTCAGAACGTTCTGCAGTAGTGGTGTGAGCATGTCCACTGTTGTCCCTGCGTCTATTTTCAGTGCTTCTGGAGGAATTCCATCTGATCTTGCTGCTCTCTCGGATTTCAACAACTTTGTTGGCTTCAAGCCTTTGCTTCTGGTCTTGTCGGAGAGCCTGTTTTCACTGATAGTTCTGCGGTTGCTGTTGGTATTTCTGGACGAGTTGCAGGTGGTGGTCTATTCAAGAGCTTTTTGAAGTGGTCAACCCACCTTTTTCTTTGTTTCTCCTCTTTTTTTGGTAACTAGGTTCCCTTCACTATCTTTCATTGGTTTCATTTGCATTGATCTCTTCTCTCCCAGATAGTAGTCTGAATTTTTATTATAATGCTGTCAGGTCTCCTACCAGCAGCCTGTTCTGCTTCACTTGCCAATGTGTCGTAGAAGTGTCTTTTGTCTTTCCTTGCACTCTTTTTCACTTTTTGTCCAGTGTTTTATACGTTATACTTAGTTCCTCTTTTCGTCCTTCATCCCTGCCTGCACTGTACTAGTTCATCTTCTGCCTCATATTCTCCTCCCTCCTGTACCAGCTTCCATGTGTCCGCGTAGATGCATTCCGTGTCTTTCTCCTTCCTCCTTCCTAACACGGTTATGCAGGTTTCCCTTCATGTCTCTTTCAAAGAGTTTCAATGATCTTCCACGCAGGGTTCCTCGGGGATGTCGCCTAATGTCTCCCATTTTTTTCCGATAGCTGACGTGAAAATGTCCTTCGATGTTTTGTCCTTCAGTTTCTGTTCTGGATGTTCAACTTGAACCGTGGTCTATCACCAACTTCTTTAAGGGCTTTAGTTTGATTTTGAAGGTTCCTTGCACTGTATAGTGGTGTGAACCTACATCTGCTCCTCTTCTTCATCTGACTTTGTGTCCGGTAAGCCGCGTCTCCACTTTCTTGAGGTTGAGATGACGTCGATCTGATAGTTAGTGCGTCCCTCTGGTGAAAACGAATCCATATCGCTTTGTGAATATCCTTGTGTTTGCACAGACTGCCTTCAATCGCCAAATCGTTGAATGTGCAGAAACCTGCAAAAAAGTCCTCAATTCGCATTCATCATTTCACCGAGTGCTTCTCAACCCAGGTGTTGTCCTCTCTGAGTTTGACATTCATGTCGCTCAACAGAACTTTGGTATCGCCAACTGGTGTGGGGTCTTGTCCAGTACTGATTGCAGTTGTCTGTAAAATTCCTCCTCCTTCTCTAGGTCCGCATTATTTGTAGGTGCATAGCGGAGCATTGAATGATTGTGACTTTCTTTCCTTTTGAATTGAATCTTGCTGTCATGATCCTAGAGGAGACTGGTTCCTCTTGCATGAAAGTCTTCGATGTTATTAGGGACATCATGATAGTCACTCAAAAACTCTGTGTGGTCGTGGTTGTCGTGTGGGTGAAAATATTCGAGTAGATTATTGACTCTGCAGTTGACAGCTTGGAGAGTCCACCTCCATTACATTTGCAGATTCCTCGCAGATTCCTGGCACTTCTATGCTTTACTTTCTCAATTCTTTTGCAATCTGTGCAACCCTTGTAGGGTCATACATGGTGTGGACATTCCATGTCCCCACGTTTACTTTCGCTTTCATTGAGGGAGAGAAGACACGTCGGCCAATTGGATTCCTGAAGGCTTCCACCAACCGGTGTCATTTCGTCTCCCCGATTTCAACGAGGAATAAGTTTGTTTTTATTTTTTATAATTTGCTTTGAAGTTTCTTTAGCGATTGGATTGGTTTTGATTGGGTAGGGTGGCTAGACCTATGCCCAACCTTCCCTCTTTATGTGGGCTTGGGGCCGGCTAGTAACTAGTGAACTAGTTAACCAGGCGAGGTTATATTTATTTCTAGTGATAGCATAATAGCTGTACAGCATTTTTCAGGAAACTACTAGAAGTACTCCATAAATCAAAAGAAACATGCTTTAGAACAAACGAGTATTTACAAAATAAGTGAAATATAAGTAAATTGATTTTGACCAGCCGTTTTCTTGCTTCATCAGTTCTTTGTGCTCAGGACAATTTCCATCAATGAAGTGTATATTTACTCAGTAAATTCCCCATTGACACTAGTGTAAGAAAGTTAAACATTAAAGCTTACTGGACAAAGAACCGTAACCATCATAGGAGCATACTTCTTTGAGAGTGAATCAATTTTTTGTGGAAAATAACTATCAGTGTAGCTTAGAATTGGTTTGCCTACAAATTGTTTAGTGTCTACATAACTTTATTATCACATACAGATCAATACATTATACTAAAATTCAAATCATTTACATATGGCTGCTCACTCGGACACTGAATGAGTGTCACGTATGTAAGCTCATTATTCTGAACTCCGGAAATAGAATAGCCGCATGGCAATCACTTAAAATTAGATGCTTCCCAATTCGTGCACATTTATTGTGGATAATAAATACATAGAGAGTGATGATAGCATTTCTGGCTGAAAGATAATTTTGTTTTCAGAGTACTCTAATAGCCTTCTTGACGTTTTCTGCAACAAAAACATCATGAGTAGAGTTATTTCCAGCATAGAATACTTCATGTTTTGAGTAGATACAAGAAATACTATCCCATACTATTTTGATAGTACTAACACAGCTATACTGCTCATTACAATGTTTACTTACCGATGGTGAGTGTTTCGGTGTATTTGACCTCGAAGTAATATTCCCATTATTATGTTTATGGGCTGAATTAAACAACAGTTGTGAATTAGGATCCTTTGTTCTTAATGATACTGGACACCAGGCATTTGCGGTCACCAAGACACGTGTTCTGTCAATATTGTTTGGTGTGAATAAGTTATCTTCATTAATATCATCATTATCATAAAAATCTTGTACAGGTTTACCGAGGAGAATTGTTGCAGCTGCTGCGGATGGACAAAGAGACTGAAGTAATTGGAGGCGGTCATTTGAACACTTAATAAATTTTGCTGAATTGTCTTCAAGAGTAGGATGAACGCAATCCTCAGACTGTATGTCATACCTAGTAAGATTTAATCAAAGTAGATTAGGCTCCGTATTATACTGTTATAAACAGTAAGGGACTGAAACAAATTTTAGAAATAGGTGTTAGGTTAATCTACCATCACAGGTTTTCTTCTATTTCTGGAAGTCTTTTCAAGTGTTGAAAACTGCCATATTCCTTACATAATGCCATTAATTTGAAAACGAAAGCGATACATATGGAGTCCTTTCTTTATTAAATTTCACGATTGTTGAAAAAAATTGATTTTGTTATTTCTTTATAATTCTAACTCTTTTTGATAATGTATGGTGTAGTTACATGAATTAAACTCTAATGTAAATATCAGCTGGAGTAAACTGATAGTATTTCAGTTAATTAGTTGTATTATAGATAAGTTTTACATATTCACACTGGGAGTGTTAACCAAATCGGTTGCTTAATAATACTCCTTTTTTGCTGACGAACGCTCATCTTTTAATGAAGCGGATTTGTCCAATAGGTCAAATTATTCAACATCTGTTGGTTCACCAAACAATATGCAGTTCATAATATATACTTACCACGGATAGCATATCAGCTACATGATGGTGAAGATGTATATGAAGAGAACTTATCTTGAAATCAAGCATGAAAATGACTTAGACAACCTGTACAGAAGTTTGAACAATTTTTGCTGTAGTAAATATGGATAACATGGGTAAAGAAAATCACCATCGTTTAGGTTGCTGGAATCTTCCTTCATTGTATCCTTATATACCTAAGCATATTTACATATACAGCTTGAGACAGACTTATAAACGCTGTACTAGCCTCCCTACCGTAGTTTTACTTTAGTATTGCAAGTAATTCATCTATTCAGTTGATAAATATTTGTAAAAATAAGGGTTTAGGTAGTTCGTTGTTGTATGAGCGAATGATATTCAACTTTTATCGAAACTTTTCCAACCATGTAATTTTAATCACTGTGTTTTTTCGCATTCTAATGACTGTTATTTTATTGATTTAAGATTAAGAATGTTGTCCTCATAACAAATATTTATATTTCATTCGCAGTGCTGAAAACTAAGTAAATTTGACATATTTTCAACAATATTTCGAGTATACATTCATAGGTAATATATGCAAACTGACTTCAGTTTGGTTGCTTATAGTCTCCTGTCTATATGAGTCAAATCATTATTAGACGTTTCATACCAAGGTTATTTCTCCTACAATTTCATTTAACAAAATGTTACAACAAAAGTTGGATGCTAAATTCAGCATTGAACACACCAGTCTATTTCGGCATGCATTTCTTTATTCATGCTTACTATTACAATGAAAGATTTTGTGAAACCAAAACTTTGCAGTGGATCGATTGTTTTTTACTAATTGGGATTCGTTGGCTTGATGTACCTGCACCCCGATGAGACGAAATGCAGGTCCTGGATACCACTGCTAGTTACAAACAATTAAACTATAACTGTTAACATCTATGCAATATTGAGGAGTCTGCTTAGTAACTTATATGTCAACTGAAGCCAACCAATAATATCCGTTATAACAACTAAGAATGACAAGTATTGACAAAGAATAATGAACAATACCTGTTGCACAAGAGGTAGGTATCACGCCTCAGTATCCTACAAGGTAAAGATTAGGCGTTTGAAGCGACAGGTATAGAGTTTTGGTTGCATTGGGAACAACATCACTCACTGTAGTGCAGATATACGCAGCTGACGAGCTCCAAATAGGGTGAAACTCAACTAACAGATTCCACTACTAGCTACCAATAAACAAATCACATAGGCCAAACTGTTTCATTTTCACCATAAACTATGCAGTTTTCAAATAACTACTTGGAAATTATTTTTCAGCTTCAAAGTATCCTGTGTCTGTTTTCGCTGAAGGTAAGTTTCAGAAAAACTGTTTCGCCTAATATGTGACGAAATATTTTTACATAGTAACATGAGAGAAACAAATAATTTTACTTGGGTAGTTGATTGCTATCGAATACACCTGGACCCACAAAGAGATGTGTTGGAGTTGTGTTTGAAACTCGTTCCTCTTGCTCGTTCACCTTGTTTCCGTCCTCAGATTCACTTTGAGCATCATCCTTCTTTCTTTCACCACTTCTATTCAACTGATTTATGCAAAAGAAAAAAGTAGAGCTGAAATATAAGGTGTTCTTGCGTTATTCACTGATTAGATTCAATTGAATCACTCAGAACTGATGCTAAGCATGGGTAGGAGAAGTGTGGTGGTTATCGTAATCACGTTTCTGCAATTAACCTAAATAATACTAGCACTGTTCTGTCTTTTTAAAGACCTAAAGAAAGTAAGAATCCATTTTTCCACACAAAAGGAACATCAGTAGATATTCAGTATGTCTATAGATTACTTTGACTCTACTGATTATTTGAGTGAGTGTGTGTGATATTTTGTGGAAAGTTACGCATATGTTATCCGTTTGTTATCTATTGAAATTAGTCACCAGGAAGTACTGAACAGAACTTTCAAGGACAAGATTTAGGTCCAGAGTTTCCTACTGACTGACTCTCAGCATCAAATATCGAAAAACAATGCACCACAGTGTAGTGTTACTTATCTTATTGACAGTACTAGAAATATAACGACAGTCAAAGTCGAAATCACTTACTGAAATGTCATTATTATCCTGTTTTTCATCATTAAGTTGAAAGGCTTCAGAAATCAGCTATATCCTAAAAGGTACTTTTCCGCATGCAAATGAGGTACTTTTAGCCACGTAAGAAGAAAAGAGTTTTGCATTTTTTTACAGATATGAGTGATGAATATTAGTCGTTGTTACAACTGGAAAATTTCTAGTTTCAAATATGAAGAAAGAGCCTAAACGGCAAATAAAACTTGTACAGAGCAAGCTCCTGTTCATTTAAATACTACCCTGCTTCTGTTGCATAATATAAGGTAAAATGTTAGAAGAAAAACATGTGCATATATGTACAAACTTTACAAACCTGTCGGACTAATCTTGTCTGTTGTACATATGTACTGCGATGCAATGCTCTGCCACTAGCTGAACTATGTTGGGTAAAACGCTGCAGACAAGCGACTGTACGACTTCTAACAGAAGCACCTTGAAATTTTTCCACATTCTCTAAGCCAACTTCTGCATGATGCCACTCAGGTGCTGTAGGAATAACAGTTCCATTCAAGTGTGAACCGTTCTTAGCAGATGGATCAAAGAATACAGGCAGACGAGGATCCAAGACTGGCTGCTGATCATCCCATACACCGAATTTATACATATAACCCATAACTAAAATTAAACGACAAAACGGTAAAGAAGTAAAAAATGCTGTATAATGTGGGATTATATTTCACTAAAATAACAAAGAAAACAATGATATTTAATATCTAGATGAATTCTTCTTGTACAACAATTTTCCCAGTTTCATGACAGACAAAGACTAAATTAATAATAATGACTATCACTTTATTTCAGACAGTATTCCTGACTGATTATGGAATTGTCGAAAAAGATTACTGAACAACATGAATAGTTAAAAACCACTCACTCTGCTCTGTAGACTTTTCCAGCAAGATCACAGTGGGCTAATCACCGGATGGACGTTTCGCTCGTCTGGGGACAAGCTCATCAGCAGTGTGCCAGCAAAATGAAGTTGTCAGTGTATAATATTGCAACAAACTTACTCCTCGTATAATATTTTCAGGTGAATTAATTATACCGTCTAAATAGTGTTAGTAACAACAGTATTATTAGGTAATGAGAAGTAACAATCAGCTGTTGCTAACTTGTCATTCAGTCTGGGAGTACGTAGTTTCAGGACAGAAGGAAAAGAAAGGCATGCATAACTTTGGTGATGATTTATTCAGTCAGCATGTAAATCTGTAGTTTGAGCTAACTATTGTGGGAATGGTCATATGATTCTCCTTTGGAACAAAGGGGGCCACTGACATCTACCGTAATGTACCTTTGTGATTTTATTGTTAATCTATGAAACGATTAGCTGAAATTTTTTTGAAAGAGAAGGGCATTAAGCAATACGATTTGTTGACATTTGAGTGAATAAAAAAAGTTTAAAATGTGAGCGATTTGACGTGAAATATTCAGAAGAAAATGTCTCGTAACCCAACGGATACGTAGGCCTCCAGCTCACTGTATGTTTATATTTGTGCTGTAGTAAGATTATCTTACAAACGATACTACTAGTGAACAACTTAAGTAGTTAGAAACCACTCAGGCTGGCTGATCTGTAGTATTTCGCCAGTCAGATCAGAGTGACCTAAACACCGGACGATCATTTCGCTGGTTTTTAGCCTATCTTATCAGCGGTGTACTTGAACAAATTCAGCAAACACAGACGAATAATTTCAAATCACCTGAATTTAGCTATCTGACTTCGACAGACCAGTATACCTAAAAAAGGATGATTAATTTACAAATGATTTAAAAATTGGACGGTTCACGTTGATATTTCTCACAGCTTGGCAGTTTTTCAGAAGCCAAACTGTGTTATCAACAAGGTTTCCACTGAAAACCACCCAGCGGGATCAGAATGTGTGACCACTAACAAAATGTGTTATGAAGTCACGAAGTATCACGAACTACCTTAGGTATACGGGGCCGTGCAAGTTAGATGGACAGATTCAGATAATCGGAACTAATTAGGCTCTATGAGTTGAACTCGTCCGAGTAAACCGCTGACAAGCCCTATCGAGAACTAGCAAAAAAACCGTCCGGTGTCTAGATCACTGGAATTTGGGTGGTGAAATGCCACAAATCCGCCAACCTGAGTGATTTCTAACTACCCAACTTGTTCAGTAGTAGTATCTTTCAGTAATTCATGACACCTTTGTGTCAGATGTCACACACTGTAACCTCGGCTAAGTGGTTTACAGCGGAAACCTTGTTGACGCCACATCTGGACAGTTGAAAAGATACCAGGCGGTGAGATATGTCAACTCGGACTGTTTAATTAGTTAATCATTCGCAAACTGATCATCCTATTATTTTTACAAGTTGTGGGGTCTCAACAACTGAATAGTAAAGAATTATAGTTAGTTAATTTTCATAAATATTGCCATACTGCAAGTATCCAGTCAACCAATAACTGTAATTTATTCAAAGCGATCACGTAAATGGTTACACATCCGTGCAACTGACATTCTAATCCATATAGAGAATTATCCATTCATTGAGTACTGCAATGTTTCTAATATATACAGTTACTGGTATACAAAAACTTCAGAGCTGTTGTTAGTGAATTTGACTTTCAAAGTTTGGGAAGTTAAAGAGGTTCATGAAACTCACTGTCCAGTTAAAGAAATTGCACTTATTATTGATTTACAATACTGTTGCGCCAATAGTCAAGGGCTCTAAATAAGGCACAAACTTTTAGATGATAATAAAAGAGAAATGTGTATCTTAGCCCAAGACTGATTTCTTAGTCAAATAGAACAAGTGGTACAAAGAATAAAGTTTGAGAATGACTCAGTCGTATTCACCAATAAATGTAGAGTTGAACAACTACAAAAGCTTTGACTTTGAACAGAAGAGCTATAAAAAAGGACTCCATATTGGACCAGGTGTAATTTTCTTGAGTTAAGTAATTTATTTTCAACTAGTTGGGTACTAAACACATTAGTTCAAAATGTTTGAGCGAATGAGTTGATTTGCTTGAAGCTGAATTTTAATATACGGAAATTTAACACCAAAGCTATGCTATACTAATCATGTAAGGAGTGGCTGTCATGACTAAATGTCCTGTTGGATAACGCCCTGGGGTTTGAAGTGATTGGTCCTGGGAGGCAGTCATATTGAGAACAACATTACCTATGGGTATGAGACGGTTGGATAAGGTATACCAAGCTGATGAATTCAAAAATAGCATGACATGCGTCTACTGGATTCCACAGCTAGCTATTAGCCGTCACTAATCAACCTTGTTACAAAAAACAACAGTTCCTGTCTACTTTCACCTCTCGTGAATGACAAGCCCGATATCTAGCTATCTACAAATCTTGTGTTAATATAATCCAATCAATATTACGTAAATATTATAGAAGAGGAATTTTCAAATTTATCAAAGTAGCTTAAGGTAGAAATCATTTTGTAAATCTCCTGAGAATACGTTTACTTTTCATTTTATTAGTTATTTATTCATCCTATTGTTGTACTTTGCAGGTTGATATCAATATTCAATACAAGTTTTTGTTTTACTACTTGTCCAAACGAGATTTAAATTTAATTACCTTTTAACGATTTTTCGGTTTAGGTGTAGTTTTTATTTACTAGATATAAATCTTTACAGATCCTTTTAACATAACCAAGTTTAATTGCTTAAATGAATGGATACATATATTGAGTGATCTTAAAATGTACACGAAATGATTCAAACAATTTTTTGCTATAATTCATATTTTATAGACTTACTTTGTTTTGATCGATGTTCACTAATCTCTTCATTTTTGTTGTTGTTGTCTTCATTGTCTTCATCCAGTTTAGAAAAATTATTGCGAGTTGATATATCTAATTTATTCGATTCCATATCTCTGGACTTTCCTGGTAGTGATTTTACAAAACTTCGTGTTCTCTGAATTCCAGTTGATACGGAACGTTTAAGAGAGTTGGACAGACTACGAACTATATTTCTACTTCTTTGACTAATTTTACTGCCATCTGAAATGTTCATTGTTGTGCACTGCTTAACTTCTGTTGGTTTGTATGAAACAGTTGAACTGGTGGTATCGTTTAGTTTGGATGGAGTATTGTTTGCATTTTTACACTGCGAACAAGCTGAACTACTGGTATATTTATAATTGTTAACTGTACCGGTAGCAGATCTCACTACAATCGCTGGAGACAGACACGGTTCGTCATTCTGTGCATCATTTCGTGTGTGTAAGACTGTGAGTTCTAGACCAGGCCGATTTATTATGAAACCATTAGGAGAACTACTTGAATTGTTGACTGGCTGTTCATCTGAAGTCATGGAGGATACTTGTGCATCATAATGTGGAGATGTATATTCATAATGATTTCTATTTGGCGTCGTATGTTCTGTTTCTGTATTGTTGCCAGGGAGGAAAAATACCTATTTAGGGCGGAAACAGTATCAGTTACAAGTAACGTTCTTGTCTTCATGTTGACATTATACATAGGATAAAGGAGGTATCATTATTAACATAAGAGTAATACTTGGGTAGTCTAATTTCCTCCCAGTTGTTAAGTTAGGTGTATCACACAGTGTAAAACAGTAAATCAAAATGGAAGACAGCACTACAGCGAACTTCAGTTTTTTATTCTTTGGTTTCGGAATCACTTCCAGGTATCTGTTCTTCTGAACTTGTTTGTTGTAAGCATTGTCTGGAACATTCTGAAAGAGTTTTCATCATTCGAATCCAGAAAATTCAGAAAATGTAGCTTGGTTTCCTAAAAACCCAAGGTTTGTTATGAATGTTATTCGAGAGACAGCTGTACATCTTGCGGAGGATTTTCTGATCTTTAGAATAAAGACAAATTCATCTTATCGTGGCAACGTACAAGCTAATAAGATAAAATCCTGTTAGTTACAATTTAGCATTTTTATGCCTTAAAAAGTGTTTTTTTACCCCAAGAATGCAGTAGAACAGTAGAAAACTGTCAGTAGCCTGTTTCTGTGAATATCCCTTATAAAAAACTATAAAAATTATTTAGGGCAGTTCTGTATATAGTTGGCTGTACAGATGGTACCCTGAGTATAAAGCAAAAGACTTCGCTCGATTAAATCATATTTAGTAGAATCTGAAATTTTGAAAGGCTGTAGACATTTTTTCTCGCAACATCTCATTTTTCGGTGTCCATACATTTTCCCAAAATATCCCGGCATATTTTATGCCATGATACCTGACTGTCATTGCTTAATAATCCTTTCAAAATGTCGCTAATTTGACAGCTTTGTTATGTGATAGCTGGAAAGAAAACAGAAATGGTTGTCTACTCCTATTTAGTAGTGCGAAAAATTTCGTATTACAATAAATAAAAAACAATTCGAATCAAGCATTGTTTTTTTCTTACTTGATACGTCATCAATAGCTCTACATTACTGTTTGTTTCGTTTACTCGTCTATTATTTTATTTTATACTTTCCAGAAAAATTCGTACTAACTTTTGAAAACGTTGATAATTCTTGAAGAGTATGTGGAAAATTACATGTTAAGTCACCATAAGAATCCTTTAAGTTGTTATTTAGGTTTTCTTGAGCTAACACCAAACAGACGTCAACAGAATACTAAATTCGAGTAATTCATGTATTATAGTGATGGCGTTTACATATTGGTAATTCAGGTTTTTCGGACATTTTGAGATAGTTACTTAAATCAAACTGATAAACAGTAAATAAACTAAAGTAAATGACCTACAACGTAAGTTTCACAAGAAAAAAATACAGAAATTTTTAGAGCCTCACTTGACATAGATACATTTTGATCAGAACAACTTAACACTATCTATCCCTATGTATTCATCATTAGGTAACTTATTTTAATTTCTTTTAGAAACATTATCAGAATATTTACCACCGTCGGATGATTAATTCTACTCATTATGCATTCGTGTACTTTATAAAGTTGAAATAAAATTACATTTCGTTACATTATTTTTCAGTCGAAAACAGTGTGGCAAGTTCATAAATGTTTTTTCAGCTGTTTTATATGTTTTATATTTTCAGGTGACCAAACGTTTTTTCTAGTTTTTCATTATGAAAATAACATTTATTTGACTTTATTTTGTTACAGTGGTAGAATAAGTGAGCCATTTATGAAGTCTCCATTTATAATAGGCATCTGTTAAGTTCGTAATCCAGCTTAATGTATGTTCACAGACTGACAGCAGACAAAATCTAGATTAAATTTTTCTTTGTAGAAATTAGGGTATAAACTGAGAAAAACACTTTCAGTAAACTGGAAACTGATGTACTTGCAAATAATTTTTCATGACTGTTTGAGATTACATATAATAGAAGCAAATGGGTTCATTTTTCATTGGGTATCCATGACTAGCATAGAGAATAAATGAGTATTATTCATTCTTGAGCGTACTGAAGAAATTCAACTTACTCTGCTTTGATCAGTCAGCACCATGTTAGAAAAAGTTGTACAGATGATGCGTTTATTTAGAAATATCAGCAAAACTTGATTAAGAACTTCATTGCTGAGAAGTTCGTACATCTTTTTTAAACCAACAGCTGTAACTAATCTGATGTTTTATTCAATATCTATTTCAAAATAAACAGTGAAAATCTTTTTCAGAATTGTACTAAAAAATCTTATTAAGCAAAGTCAACTAGGTTCCATCTATTTGGAAGATATCGCAGTTTCTGGCGTACAACTATACAATGGACTATTCGTTGAAATGCTTGTAATTCTTGGTTGTTTTACTGGGTCGAATCGTTCGAACTCTGTTGGCATATAGGCTCCTGTGTGGATGCCTCAGTGACCTCAGTGATCTAGTGGATAACGCCCTGGCGTTTTTAGCGATGAATATGAGGTTCGAGTCCCAGTGAGTGCAACATTACTCACTAAGGTGCTGGTACATCTGGCTGATGAGTCCCAAATAGGATACAACTTGCGTCCTGGATTCCTCTGCTAGCCAAAGCCAAATAAATTGCTGTACAATGCACCATCAGCAAATAATTGCAAGTAAATACATTCTAAACTAACATTCGTTGCATATCAACAGCCATAAACAGTAATTTGATGACAGAACATCATGGAATACAATGAGTCAAATTTAAGAGGGTTATATAAATGCATCTTGAGTTCGCAGGGTGAAACTACCATATATATAATGTTGAATAGCCTTTAGTCTTTATTTTGAATGGTATGTGTTCTTTTTTTATCATAATTTATAAACAACAGTGAGTGTTTGTAGACGCTATACACACCAATAATCTATATCAACGTTTGCAACGTACATTTACTTCCATCAAAAGAGATATTTCCAACTTATTATACTTACTTACACCTAAAATGTTTTCTTTAAGAGTCATAAACAGTGAGATTTTTCGCGCAAATTAGCAGCTTATTCATCCAGCTCAGGGAACAAATCGAAGTAATAAATATTGTTTCGCCAAATCACTCAAGAAAACCATGAACTAGACATCTATTTATAGTAGACGTTTCTAAGACCATGGTGATCAGACCATTACTATAAGTTTATTACCTAAGCTGATTAGTGAAGGTTTTGAATCAGTAAATTTATACAGGATTAATTTTATAATACATATACTGTAATCAACCACATGTCTAAACGGTTATTCGTCTATCAGGATATTTTCCTGGAAAATGAAAATAGGAGCATATTTTATCTAGGTTGTCTTGAAATAAATTAATCTTATGACTACAATTCAATGAGAAAATAATGGACCCACTGTCTGCAAACGTTAATTGAAAGTTCTCCTCTTCTTAGTCTGATAGTTTTCGGGGAAAAAACGGGTAACACCATTTACTTTACCAAGTAGTATCGAATTTTTTAGCCCTTAGAGTTTTACGTCAAATATCTTTTGATCTTCAGAGCCACAGAGTTGTGGGTGGCACTAAGGACAAGAATCTTTGTTATTAATATTATACTTATAGATATCATTACTTGTCTAAAATCTTTCTCTTGTCTCCTTATGAGTAATAAATTAATTAGATATTTGTGTGATTTGTCTGGTGACGGCTATTACATTGAGATGTTATGTGTGAAGTGACTGTCTTTCAGTTTTTAATTTTTCAGAGTTTGGGACATACATGTAGTCCTCATTAGGATTGCTTGTGCTTGTACATGTGTACTTCGGTTAGGGGATACATATCATGTCATTAGGCTACTAGTGGATACTCGTCACTTCTTTAAGTTATCGTATGACTACATTGACCTAGGTAGTGGTTTAGTGTGTACTACTTATAAGAAAATGCATAAATAGTGGACAGTATGATGTCCCTGGAAAAAGCAATGTTATCATCCAGTCGTTAGAGACTGAAAAAATATACAGGAAACACAGGAAAGATATATGGAAGACAAACGAGAAAGCAACTTGAACTTGATTATGTTGTGTTCTCCGAGCTGGTTGTTTTAATCATGGAGCCTTCTTCGTTTACCTAGTTAACATCATCAGCACTAAATTGAATATGAAGTGAGCTGTCACTATCTCCTAGTGGGTGATTCAGTAGCTTGCTCTGCTTTGTTATGTCATTCACTGCATAGATTTTCTTGTTAACTGTTCCTCTTCTTGGTCTCTGACCTTTCCTCTGTTTATCATTTTTTGATTTTGATTGGTAAATTAGGCCTATGTCTACCCATCCATTGACTGCGGAATGATCTCAATGCCAAGCTTCTAAGAATTCCCTAACATTCTTTGCGTTTTCTCTCTCCAGGATTTATACACTGTCATAACTGAATTCATATCTATGGTTATCCATATGCACTGAGATGGGTGATGAAATGTTGTGACGTTTAATAGCTAAATGTTTGTTCTTTAAAACGAAGGCGAAGAGAGTGACCATTTTGTCCAGTGTACTGTTGATTGCAGATATTGTGTACGGTAGAATGATTGCTTTGTTGACTTCTGTCGTGATGAACTGGAAAGTATCTATTGGTAAAGTCTCGTGAGTAACCGATTTCCTGCGAAAGACATCAAATAATTTTCATTTCTCTGTAAAATTGTTGTACTGCGGTAAGTTTTCGCTTTTTTTTAATAAACTCTGCAAAGAACTAATTTTATGCGTTGTTGGATTGTTACTACTGTAGTTGAGGATCTGATCAGTGTACATCAAACTTCTGTACACTTGAGTTTCCAGTTTTCTGTAACTTGTTCTGCTAACTAAAACATCCAGGGATGGCAGTTGGTTGTTCGACTCCTTCTCCATTGTGAATGTGATGTCACTGAAAACGCTACTGATCAAACTGTATTTGTTTTCATCTTTACTGTGGAGTGCACATACCCTCGTTATGATTTGTATTTAACATAATGTTTTAATACCTTGTCAAAGGTCAGTGTATTTTCTCAGTAAGGAGTGTCATCAGTATTCACCTGCGTTATTTTCTTCAGAAATCTCGACAGTGTTTGAATAAGTAATCGGCGCCTTTTAAACAGTATATGAATGCTTAAAACATTTATGACAGACGTATTTAAGCCTTTAAAGTTGAAATCACAATGCTCAAATCCAACTGGTAACTGTGACACACTTAACGAAGTAAATTTGTCAATAACAGTTCAGTTTGAAAGTCTCTTTAGTTTACTGTTAACGTCTTAAAAAGTATCAGCATGGTTTTTACTGTGTTTATGCCGCATATACACTAGAATTTGCACGACACATTATTACGAATGTTTTATTTCGTACAGCTATGTTTCCCGATGGGTCAACGGAGTTAACCAAAGTCTTTCAGTCGATAAAGTGACGTGAAAACATACTCCAAAAAAATTCTTCGAATTTAACAGTCAGCAACACAGGTTCAATTCACCACTGTAGCACCAGTTTTCCCATGGTTGTAAACGCGCCTTGCAGAGTGCTGCCAACAAGCTCGAAAGCTACGTTGAGAAGGAATTACCGCTAACTGTTTGGTAGCATTTAACAACAACGATATTAATTTCACTTTGGTATACAGCATGCATTGATGTCATTTGGGGGAACAATATAAATCTAGGAGCACTGAACGGCTGTTTTGTCATAGTGTGTGACTCTTCATCAAAGCGTGCCCATGACCTCGCCAAGGATAAAACCCGGGACTCCGAGTTTCTGAGTCAGCAAGTTACCATAGAGTCACTGGGTCGGAATCCACTAGTCCAAATATCCTACTTTTATCAGTTCCTATCAGTCCATGATGAATATCAACCTGTAACCATTAAAGAAATCCCCACAAACCTCCAAACAGAACAAAGATATCTGCGTACATTGAAAATCCTCAATTAGACATTTAGAAAGACTAATTGAGCGATGAAATATATTCCTGAAAGAAAAATATATCGTTTCTAGGAGTAGTGACATTAGCGTAATGATTACCTTCATTTAAATAATTTAAACTAGACAGTCGCAAAGTGGTAAATGTTTGTCCTAACCCCTGGTTTTGCCCAAGAAATAAGCAAAAACGTGTTCTGTGACTGTGGAGGAGACGATTGTCGTAGGATGAAAGTGGCAACTGATGCTATGATTTTTAACTTCTTTCCGTTGACTGAACTCAGTAGTCTAGTGGATAACGTAATGACCATTGAAGCAAAAGGTTCAGAATCCCAGTGTCAGGGTAAACTATGACATTCAGTGGAAAGGAGGTAAGTCCGCGTAAGTAGTAGTGAATTGGGATCGAGCTTCCTGAATTCAACTGTTAGTTACGATCCATCATTACTATCAAACAGCAATGACAATTTTTTCATGCACGCAAGATATTCTGCAAATGAAAATATTTATTTTTTCACTCTATGAATAACATTTTAAGAAACTTCATTATCGCCATTTTCCTCTGTTTGCAAAAGACACTCATTAAAACTGTTGACTGGCACCACTAGGATAACCAATACACCTCAATAACACGACTTACGTCTCTCGTTGTCTTTCTTTCTAAGACAACACGTCTTTGGTAGATCTGTCTGTAACGCTTTCCATTGATTACAAATTCTTCTGAAACTTGTTCTTCTCTTGGACAAGTTGATGTACTGCTTATCGATGGTGAAGTAAATTTTGACATTAGATGTTCATTCGCTCTTTTTCGATCTACTAACATACTGCCAAATCGATTCAGTCTATGTTTATTAGCTTTCTTCAACCCGTTCACATCCATCTCATCTTCATCCTCTTCCTCTGTGTTTTCACCAACATCTTCTACTGCTGACCATCTGGAATCGGAAGATTTGTGAAGCAGTTGGTTGTCGTCTTGATTTAAACTACCAAATTTTGTATCACAGTCCATTTTCTGTTTCAAATAAAATAATAATCAGACGGGAAACTAATTAGAGCTGCATATGATTAGGGAGAAAAGTTAAATTGAAGCTGGCGAAGACTTATAGAAATCCATACTAAATCATTTCCTTACGTATTAAAAGCAAAATATACATAGTTGTTTGTATGCAACAGATAGTAGATGGTGAAAATGGTTGGTAATAATAAAAACATGGGTTCATAATTTCATCATGCACTCAGAACTGCTTACCGGTATCTTCACTATGTAGCAGACTATAAAAAAATACTGCTCTAAATTCCTTTTTACACAAAACTGGGTACTGGAGACCTTAATAAAAGCTGGTGGTTTACGAACTCAGAAAGAAGTCATGATAACCGGTATTCTACATTGTGAACAGCCTTAACTCAGTATACCCCAAAAGCTTCACAGTATGATGAATTAAATCCGTAACGTTGATTGCTGCTGGTTATTATAGTCAACAGAAGATATTATAAGCACTTAACATTTCATCCGTCGGTTGAAAAGTAGTATACCTAACGTCTTACTGAAGTATACACAAGATGAATTAATGAAATACACCCGAAATGCATATTTGACGTAAACGTATAAAATTTTATAAATCCTGTCTAAAAGCGCGGTCATGATTTGTAAAACCACACGCTTATCGAATATGTCACAGCCATATTTCTCGTTTAAATGACATTGCCATCGAAGTTGATCATTATAGAAAACTAGTTTTATTGCTGATACAGTTCAAAACAACTGTGGATAAAATGCACAAGAAGCAGGAAATCCTGTGTAAGTTTGCTTGTTATGAAAATCATTAGATCAGCATACACCATGTTTACCTTATGACTTTGGTTATCCCCTATAGATTTGTAAGAATTTTGTTTATTTTGGATACTCAGTTACATTGATTTAAATCATTCATATCTTAGAAACAGTATTTTTTTATTCGAAATATACTTTTACAGTAATCATTAGTTTTGAACGAACAAGTTGTATACTTTTAATCTGTGCAAATTTTAACGATTTATTCAAAATATATAATAATGGCGCCATAGTGACACCTAAACATAGTAACAATATCATTTAAAGCTGGACATAGTATAGTGTCTAGAAAGTGGTCAGTGTAATCTTCGTCAAGTTATTATTGATTGATGCATTGATAAGGTTTGTTGTCGTTCTTCCGCAGTTGAAACATCGACACATCATCACAGATTATAAAGTATTTCATCACTTTCAAAAGTTGATGATGCAGATAAAAAAAGCCTTCATTGAACATATCCAACACTCAAGAAGCTTACTTAAAACGACAACTGCAGTGATTTGATCATGTACTGGAGTTTTTACCTATAAAACCTTTCTGGAGATGTCAAATTATAAGCCTATCGCTAACACCTTGTTACAATCAAACTGAAAGATACAGTGAATGTCTATAGGCAGGTGATTACGCAATATAATATGTCGGTCTGATGCAAGTACTAACCGGTCAGTAAGATTATATTAGTAGAACCTGGATTTCATTGAAGCAGATTATACCAGTCCCAAATACTGGGAGCATAAAATGCTTGATCTTTTTTCACATAATGAAATATCTGTGAAAGCACCAGTAGCCATAGTTATTCACAGAATCTCAAGTATTCAGGCATTGGATGTGCATAACTTAACGAACATAAAACGCTCAAAAAATAATACTAAGTCTAAATTCTTAACAGGACGTCTATGAAGTAAACTGGTGTGTTAGCAGATACGAAAAACAATCCATAATGAAGAAATACCAGTCACAGAAGACATTAGCCTCAGGTGAATGAAATGCAGCTTTCTGAAAAAACTAATCATTTGAGATAATAATAACGAATAACTGGATTCTGTAGGGAGACTAACTATACTCAGAAAAAATACCAGAAATCTCTGTTGAACGTATCAGAAAAGGAAGATAAGTTTTGTGAAGTAGATGTCTCCGGAGACTTCGTTCATGAAGTTATACAATTGCATTTGCATACATTTTTTTAATGAGAAATGTCCACTGTTTTATAACAAGTTAGTTCAGTTACTTCAGAGGACATGGTAACAAACAAGATAGGCTGTAAAATTTAATCTAATTCTCTGAGGACAGTGAATATTACCAAGGAATAGTGACCAGTTTCATCAAATTTGAGACTTATCTGCTAAATGATATTGCCTTCAACTGGGTGATGTTATTCTCTGTAAGACTTGAACCCCTCACCAATTGCTTCAAACGCCAGAGCGTTGCCCACCAGACCGCCGAGTCTTAAATAAGATGAAACGTGCTTTCTTGATTCCACTGCTAGTCACTACCCATTAGTGATTTCGAATTTGAATAATACCCTCAATTCTGAGACATGCACACAGGAGCCCATGTAGCAGTAGTTGGCGATCAGTTTGGTCCAATAGACGATGAAGATGCACAAGCTGTATCATCAGAGGTAGTAAATATTATCTATAGTTTAAAAGGAGGTGGGAGAAGGTGATCAATTTTCAATGATGGGTTACGCAGCATGATAGAATACTTCAAGAATGGACTATTATCAAGAAAAGAATAAGACCAATTAGCTAGGAAGTGAACATAATGGAGAAAGGATATGAAGATACGGTTTTAAATAATAGAAATTAAGATTATGGAAGCGGAAGAAGTAGAGGAAGTTTCTCCGGCATGTAAGCTCTATAATTTCTATGTTGATAACTAACGCCACGAAAATGCATGAAAATTTGACGTAGTTGTTATTGTATTGCTTTATGGATGAAATCGTTGAAAAACAGCTGCTTCACTAAACTAGTTTTCTTTTTCTTATGAATTACAAGAAGGTGAACTTTGATGTACATCGTTTGTGAGGAACGAACCTTTTTCATTCACATGATTTTACTTTAGTATTCTACTATTACCAAACTACTTGTTGATTCTTCCTACCATATCAGCAAGTTTATGCCTGCCCAGACATAATTAAACCCAACAGTGTTCTGAATAAGTCAAACAAGTGAGACATTTTTCGAGAGGAGTACTTGTCTATTTCAACGTAGTTGGAGACATAGTTTTCAGTGATATTGTTGTAATGACCTACTATGCAACTCTGTATTATTTGAAGACATTAATTTTCTTATGGGGATTCGTCTGAGGTTGGTATTATGTCTTTTTATTTTTTTACTTCAGACTAGATGACATTTAGTTGCTTGTAGTACAGTGATTCAGTGTGTATAAGGTTATGTATAGTGATTATGTTAGCATCGTATTGCGATTAAACTCAGCACGACTTTCTTGCAACTGTTAATTAGACGATATTTGATTTCAATAGCTTTGGACTAAATTCATATCCTCTTAAACGCTACTTCCTTGAATTTGTTCCACTTATATTTCCTTATTTAACTCTTGAATGATGTATATATGGATTCACAAACTCTAACTCTGGTTCTGGATAGTAAGAATGAAAACTTGGTATCTTTCAACGATATACTCTTGTCTTGTATACATAACTGCTGATTATATGACTAACCCTTTGTCGCTTGTCATCAATTCCTTCTCAGTTGATGATCTATTGTTGAGAAATGAGGTTTTTTAGTACATCTGATTAGCTTTAGCCATATAACAAAAACACAGCAAAACTGTATTTTGCATATCTTTGCGCTCAAATGTTATTGGATTGATGTTAAGAGGGTGAAGTATAGTATAGATGTATCACAACTGAGAAATCGGTATCTATTCAATGTAGCGGGAATTTTCACTTCATATTTTCCCGAGATATAAGCAAACTACTGACAGTTCGCAAAATTTTACTACAGAAGTTTACAAACTATCCATTCAGTGTGCACTGCATACCACTAATTTTGTAGTTGCCCTCAATTTATGGAAATTTTGTCAATAAATGTTAACCTGATTAAAAACGGTATACATTTTCACACATCCATGAAATAGAACACTCACATAGTTCACATTATACACTAGCATTTGGCTATGATAAAAATCATGACCAGTATATATATATATATATATATATATATATATATACGTTGACACATGTTGGTCAATGTTATTAATAATTCAATAGCAGTGTTGTCAATGGATTCTGTAATCATATTAGAAACAACTAACCGTTTTAAAGTATTAACAGATGTGCATAAGGTATCATTTTACCAACTCTGTGAAATTCTAATATGAAGAAACTACGAAGGCGAAATTATGTTATCTTTAGACTGTTAGTGTACTAAAAACACAAGTTGGAAACAGTAAGGGAGCAAGAGGTTCTACTAATACTAATAGTACTAATAGAATGAACGAAATATTCACCGGCCATTAACTGCTTTGTGCTTATACGTTAACAGTTGAAAATACTTCTCGAAATCCGTATAACATTACTGCTTTAAAGGTAATAACCACTTATGGATCAGTTGTGGAAGTTTCCATTAATGAAATCATTGAACTCAGCTATATAATCAGCACAACACACTTTCATCTACTTTGCTGTTATTAGTCATCATTTGAAGTAGAGACGCGTATGTATCATCATCGTGGCATACCAGCCTGTGTTGCAGTTCAAATTGCCTTTGCTGAGACCAGTCAGAGTCAGATATGAAAGGTTGTTGTAAACGTGTACACTGTTAGTCAATCAGTTACTTTTCTCTTACTTTTGCGGAGAAAAGGCAAAATATATTTAATCGTCGGTTTCAGGAATTACCGAAACTATTCATTATTTGCCGACTTGCTAGTCAAGCAAATTCGAGGTCACCGAATTCAATCTCTAGTCTGTTAGAAAATAAGGTATTTCTAACCAAGTATTAGGACAATGAGCTAGTAATCTGAAGCCATTGCCAAAATGTTCAACTACAATCCACTAAAGTGGATTAAAGTCTACTAAGAATGCGCTATTCAAGTGACTTGTCTAAACAAATCTATACCAGACAATCAGTTTCAATTATAAATGAGACCAGTTTTTTTCTTTATGCTTCTTCATACTTATCAAAAAGTTACATCTTCAACTTATTGAAATTAAACAATTTACGATCAAAATTAAACACTTCACAGCTGTAGTTAACTACTTCACCAATGAGCTTTATCATCTGGAGGTAACGTCCTTAATGAGTCAAGTATTTCAGTTGGTCACTCACCATCAACTATTTTATCAATAAATAGATCGATATAAGTCAATAATGGCTGCAGGCTATCAGTGGAATCTAGAATACACGTTTTACCCTATTTAGGAATCGTTAGCCGAATATATCTGAGTAATTTTATTCACACCAAGATCCAAACCCAAAACCGATCACTTCAAATTTTACAGAGTTTTCCTCTAGACCACTGATTTAAGATAGCTACTTCTTGTGAGCAGGTACTTCTAGTTGATGAGTCAAAAGTAGAACGAAACGTGCATCCTAGATTCCACTTCTATCCATTATCCATGTTTAGTATCAAACTAAAGATGCCGGTAATGCCGATATATCGGTACAGAAAATACTTCTTAATTTCTTTGAACCAGCAAAACAGTCAGGCTACTGAAGTTTAATGATGTTCTCGTTACACTGTATTATTACACAAAAGATAATGAACAAACAAAACTTTGACTGAACTCTCATCATAAAACTAATATTTAGACACATATTATCATTCATTATCATTGTATTTTCAAATATTGTTAAACTAGATAGCTATTTTCATGCAAAACGTTTTACCTCCGAATTGAAAGTGGATTTGTAATTTTCACTCGAATGAACTGGAATTGTTTCAATAATAAAACCGGTTGGCTGATTTTTATTAAAATTATCAAAGTTACCAGTCCCTGCACTAGTACTAACTTGTTCTGTTGATGCTGAGGTCAGCTGTGAAGTTTTTGTATTGTCAATATATACTGATTGCATTTCACATGTAATATCAGCAACTTCACGCTTCATCTCTTCAACCGTTGGCATCTGTACAACTAGACAGCATTTGTCTACAGGCACTGATTTTAAGCACTCCATGCTTACAGATTTACCAGGATGCTCCGTAACTTGAAGGAGAATGTTGTTTAGATGTCAATGCCTTCTGCTGAAATTAAAAAATAATGGTAATTAGCGGTTTTGTTTATGTGTTATTGGTAAATATGTTGTAACTAAGAATAGTTATGAGTTATAGCCAGAAAATACCTTATAGGTTACAGAATTCAGTGCTTACTTTAAAGATAATGATAGTGCTCAAGTTAACCACTCGAACTACGTCTTAGAGCCGAGGTAGGTAAATGAAATAACGACTAGTTATTTGAACTTCATTAGTGAATACGGTGAATACAGTTTTCCCCAAGTAACCGAGGAACATAACAATCTACTTTCTGTCTCTCACCACAAAGTATTTCAATTACTGTTTCCTTTCAGGTTTAAAAAAATAGACAGATAAGTTTGACTGCTTTATAATAAACACAAGAAATGCAAAATAGTCAAAAGGTATTTTGTTGCTGAAACAGCATGACATTACCAATAATTTTTAACAAAAAATGGTAGCGTATGATTAGCTGCTTGGCAAACTGAACTTCTATACAGCACAAGAGCCTCTTCAAGGTCTGTTGGAAATGCTTTGATTTTCAATGTTCTTAAATTACTTATTTGTCTAACCTATTGGAACACTTATTTTCAGTACTGGATTAAAATAAATGCCTAGTGTAAAATTTAACCAGGCTGTAAGTTGCTGAGCTTGAAAAACTTAATTTTTATGTCACATTTCGGCTCGGAAATAGTAACACAATAATAAGTGAAAGATTTGCTCTAGCCCCTTTAGTCTTTTTCATTATGATTCTAGCACTAGAGAAACTAATATCTCGAATGGTAACAGATGATCATTCTTGTTATATTGAACGGTCCCTCTAACTAGCTAAAGCCTTCATTGGACAGTTAGGAATTAAATCATACTATCTATAAAAAAGTAAATAAACATTTTAACAACGTTGATACCATTGTACGCTTTCTGGCTTTATTTTTACTTCGGTACTAGTTTTGTCCGATAACTTAATAGGTCAGATTTAAAACAAACAACAAACAATTAAAGCAGAATTTATTGAATTCATACACACATAATACAAACTAAGACATTGACTGAAACATGGTAACATGGAATAAGTCATTTACTCATATCAAATAGAGTTAGGATTAGGTTGGGAGGGGGTAACGAATTGATAATAAAAAATAAAAGGACTAGGGATGGATTACATCGTACAGAACAATTATTAGTCAACTGGGTAACTTGATAAAGGTGTAACACTAAGGTAACATAGGTGTTAGGTAAAAAAAGATATAGATTTTACTAGTAATATTACGAGTGAGTGATAATAATGATAATGATAACAATGAAAATATGGATATTGAAAAGATAAAAACTTACTTCACTTTGAAACAAGATAAGTGAACATCAGTTAAGAAGCTTAGTAACAGTGTAAATATAAAGGGGGCTAGAGTAATAGTTACACGATAATAACGATGGAGATAAATCATTTGATTAGTAAGCGGAGAAGTTCAAGAAGACATGATAGTACAGCCGAATGATAGTAAACATCTTAGTTTGTATTATCTGTGTATGTATTCCTTTATTGCACAACAGTATATAAAATCATATATGTGGAGTAAAAAGCTGACTAATCCTACTGAAATTTATGAATTCAGTAAAACCGGCTTAAATTACTTTTGTTGCTTGTTTTAAATTTGTATCGAGAAACAAATGTTTTCAAGTCAGATTCAGATTAGTCTGGCATATTCGTGGTTCGAATAAAATTTAAATCCATCTTACTGCATAGATCAAACGAGTTGAGGACTGGTCTTTTTACCACGAAATGACAAATATTATTCTGTTATCAGAAATGTAATTTGTTATTCTGATTCAGAGAATCTGTGCACAATTCACTCTGGAGTTTTGTATGAATTTGTTGGTTTTAAGTTTTTGTTCATCAGTGACAGACATTGTTTGCAGGACCATTAAAAAGATGGCAGCCCGGAAATACTGTTTCGTCCCAAAATGGGACTCCTCAGTGGTACGCACTTGTGTTAGATATACTGGTGGAGTCATCTGTACACGCTGCTAAGGAGTCGCATCCTAGGACGAAATGGCTACTATCCAGTGCTCTCACGTTGTCAGCGATTCTACAACTGATGTCACTCTGTGGTTAATACCCACTATATACACTTATCAAAGGCGGAAACGACAATCGTTTGTTTCGATACTTTCGTGAAATCAGATTTCATATACTAAATTGAAGGACTAACTGAAAAAAATTATTGTCAAGTACTACAAGTGTATTGATAAGGCGAAAGTCTTCAATCATTCTAGATTCAAAAATAATCGGCTTGTTAATTGACAATAAATTGAATGTGTTGTCACTCTCTAGGGTAGTAAGGGAAGAACTGCTTTAATCAAGTTATTGTTTCAGTAATATAGGAGTGAAATGTGGCCACTGTGGTAGACTGTAATTCCATTTTGGTATATTTATTAAAAATGTCACGCAGTAAAATAGTATCATTTACCGGATAACGTCACGGACTTACTTCGCTGTCCATATTCATATCATGTAACAACTTCGCTGCTCTGAGACAAAGTTTATATAGTTCCAATTTACTCTCCTTCTTCGTGAAGGGAGTTAAATATATAGGTCACAGTAGTCGACCAGTATTAATTAGGATAACACAGCCCAAAAACTTAGCAACATCAAGATTAGTAGATCCTAAAATGATAAGAAATTTAGAGAAAACTCGGCTATAGCTGTGCATCATACAATGGGGTGTGATGGAACTACTGTAATAAGACGTAGTTAGGCTCAGGGAGAGACTGGTAATCGAATCTTTGTTTATCGAACCAACAGTAAATGCATACAATAGAAATGATTCTGCCTCTGGCCAAGATATGTGAAAAAAACTACTACCCTTGTCATCACAAAGGAGGAGAGAAAATTAGGAATACATAAACTCCGTCTCAAAGATGTGGAGTTGTTACATGATATGAATATGAACATCAAACTATATCCGAAACATCATCCAGTAAATGATACTGTTTCACTGCGGGACATTTTTACTAAACAGACTTAAATGGAATTATTGTTTCAGTGTTATTATCCCATCATTATAGAAGATTTAAAAATAATGTAGTTATTTTGTCTGACACTTGATGTGACATAAACAACAAATATTATACTATTGCATACAAATTGTCCTCATAGTTCAAAGTTAGTAAGCTTATATCACTAGACCCCTCTGAAAATGTATGTGCTGGTAGACAGGAAGATATATTATTTATATCCAGAGATGATTAGAGGTGAGATGAAAGCCAGGGTCACAGCAAGTTTGAAGCCAGTGTTCTTGGCCTGGTGATCAATCAACTAAGTTATAAAACTAAACTAGTGGTCAGATCTTAGCTTCAGTCACGGAAGCAGTTTCAGTAAGACATACCACAGCTATTTCAGTTTTATCGATAAAGAAATTCACACATTTCATCATATATTCTGTTAGCCGATTAGTAAGTGTCTTTGGTTTGTTCATTTCATTTTCTTAGAATAGAATATCAATAAATCATCTACAGAGCCGTTAATGTGTACCGAGGACAATGAGTTTTACCATAAGGAAGGAAGAACGAAATCAACCAGTGAAATTTCTTCACTGGAAAAAGGTAAGCCATGAAAATAAAAATTAATGAACTTTGAAAAGATCTAACTAAAAGAGTAATGAATTCATTCAGCTGGTTTTTGGAAATTACCTAAATGTGGCATGAGATGAATTAATTACATTTACGCATAACAGTAATGTAACCTGTATAAATATAGTATCATTTTGTCATGCAAATGATGTGTGTAATTTAGTTGAATATTCAGTTAAAAATATCTACTTGAAGTGGGTTTAAACAGTTTAGTAAGAACGAACTGTAAAATTATTAAAATTAGAGGTTCGAGGTGGATTTATTGTTCTCAAGTTGGTATTTATCATGAAGTGACTGTTGGATAAACAATGAAAACTTGAGATTCCTCAGCATAACGCACTCTCGATGCCCATAGTAATCAAGCCTAGGACCTTCAGGTTTCGCAACGCTCACATTATCCTTGAAACCCTGTTTTGGAATCCACTGATCTACATCTTCGAATTTCTGGCATTTCATAATATAGCCTGACCGTCCCTCAATGTCATTGGTGAGTAGTTGTCCTCATAGCTGACTTCGTTGAATGCAAAGGTCAAAGTTTCTCATTAGAACTTGAGAAACACATCACTAGTGAGTATTAGAAAGTGATTCACTTTGGAAATATGAAAAGAATTAAAAGATTTACCAGTAAGTTAGTTTATTGGGTTAGCTGTAGTTGCAAGTGATTTTGGACAAAATTATAATGAATGTTAGATATTACAGGTAATTAATAAAATAATGAAAAAAGAAAGACGATGTGAACAAGTACTGAGTAATAGGCTTACTTAGTACCCTGATAAAAAGGTCTGTAAATACTTATTTCTGAAAGGAATCGAGAGTGAGTTAACAAGGGTCAAGTAGTTCATTACGTTTTTCTTCAATGTATATCTGTGGCTGCTCACTCAAAGTCCTATAATGTTAATTCTGTGTCAGGGATAATTCTGAACTGTATTTACCAGATCAGATGGAATGTATTAGGTCACTGGTTATGTCATGAGCTACATAGCTGTATGACGGTAAAGTAAGTTCCAATTTACGACAATTTAGCTACTCACAGGCTAAAGGACAGTTGTTTTTTCAGTGATAAGCTGCACTAGTGTACCCATCGAAAAATGAATGAAACTGTTGTTCTTAACAGGAATTTGGCCATGTCTCTAAGTTACTTCAGACATTCTGCTGTGTGTATATAGAAATAAATTGTAATGTGGAATATGAACGGAATGAAATAGTGAGGTTGTCCAACCTTAGCTAAATATTTAGAAGCAACTGTTGAAAGATTACAAGCATTTTCTACCATAGCATAGATTCAGGAGTACAGTTTGTCTAAATCGCTTGGTCT